TTCTTCTCCGGTTTGTAATCGTACCTACGAACAGGACGAAGGACGTCGACGGAGAATTCCGAGATATGAGAGTCGCGACAGGCGGAGACCTTTTTCGAGAGAGACGTCGCGACATCGTCGTCTCGTCTTCATTCTTATCCGTTACGATTACAAACCGGAGAAGAAAACAGAGACTGTTAACGAGAGAAAAAGCGAGAGATGACGCGAGGACTGCAAATATCTGCGTGAAAATCTGTCAGGATTTTCCCAGATGAAGAGATTTCCAATTTGGAGTGCCCGGATGTGTCTCGAAATTCGTCGCCTCGATAAGATTGGGAAATTTCATTCTTATCCCAAATGGATTTTCCATTTGGGATCAAGATGTGCCTTTGAAACTCGTATTTTTCTAGCGACTAAAAGCGGTACACTTTTATAAATTGAATAGGGAGAGTCATTTTTGCACCAACATCGAGCTCGATAGAACGAAAAATAAAAAACAAAAGATATTTTAAACATCTCCGGAGTATTGACAGACGATGTAGATGAATTTGTAGATAAATATAAGTACGATACTAATATATCCAACAAAAAAGATGAGAAAAAATCTTCGGAAAAACGTGGAAGAGAGCAAAGAGGATGCTCCCAATTCGCGCGTTTGAAACATCACGTGCCTGATCCGAACGCGAACCTGGATCGCCCAATGAAGGAGCATAATCTGGCCGCGAAATGGGCCAAAGCCGTAATCAGATCCCATGAAATTTTCCACGCGGGTTAGCCAAGGACGTCGCGATGCGAGAGCAAGGCGCGTCGCCGCGCAAAATCGGTATGCGGATCTCCGCGCGGGATTCTTCGTGCGACTCCGCCGCCGCCTCCGCCTTCTCCTCTTTCTCCTCTCGCCAAATGTGTCTGCGAGAGGCGAGGAAAAATCCGCGCGAGGCTTGCGAGCTCACGTCGCCGGCGCTCGTTCTTCCGCCCGTAAGCCGCGCCGCGCCGCGCCGCGCCGCGCCGCGCCGCGCCGCGCTCGCTTCCTCTCGCGGCGCGATATATCTCTCTCGCGAGAAGGCAACACGCGCTCGTTCCTCTCTTCTGTCCGGGACTACAGGCGCGCATCCGGTCGGCCGGACGTTCGACAAAGAGCGTAACCGGCCGGCAACAAACTGACCTGCGCTAACTGGAGTTTCGTGAGACTCGACCGACGTCCGGGATCATCGTCTGGGAACGCGTTCCGCAGACGCGCGGCCAATTGCCGCATTCAAAGAGCCGGCAGGAGGAGCGGAAGTAACTTTCACGGCTAAACCCGCAGTTTTCCCAATCGCGTTAAGCCGGAAAGGGCTACCGTTCGCCTTGTTTTCGGCGACGCGACCGTCCTTTCGCGGACCGGCACGATTTTCGGAAGCAGGCTGAATGAACCCGTCGGGGAGCTTTGTAGTCAAATCGTCCCCGAGGCCGCTTGTCAAAAGCGCCGTGCGGGTCTGCGTGAAAAATCTTCCGAAAATACAAACCTCACTCACCGATCGCGGAATGAGTTCGCTCCGGAGGAAAGAACACCGCGGGAAGTGTTGAGCGCTTCATTCAGCCTGCCCATTTTTCCCAGAGAGGTACGTTCGAAGGCGATCCTCTTCGCTCACGACTCACGCGTATACGCGAAACGCGAGAGAGAGAGGTGAAGCCGCCGCGTCATTTCGTAAATCATTCGTTGCGGCAATCTAAGCGTTGGTAGCGGCATGCGCATTGTCGCCGAAAATGTCGCGACAACTGCCGCCTCTGACTTCGCGGAACCTGCGACTTCCCGGCTTCGGCGAAGAGCAGCATGGGGCAACCTCAGAGGCCACCGAGAGCCACTCGAGGAGCGTTCTCGCGAAGAACGTCGTTCTCGAATGCGAGCTCAACGTGTGGGAGTCACCTGCGAAGCGCTCGTCTTTCGACACCGGAAGTGTCATGCGGAAAAATGATCGGCCGCTCGGTCATCCGCGCGTGTCATCACAAAGGAAGGAAAGAAGGAAGGAAGGCAAGCGGGCAGGACGAGGCGAGTTGCAGACAGGAGGGGCAATTCCGTTGACGCAACAGAATTCTCCGTTGCCCGGGAAAAATAAAGACCGAACCAAAGAGAACGGGGAAATTCTTTCGGAACATTACGACTGCCAAAGCTGATTGCTCGAAATGACCGGTTTGTGAATTCTTATCAAGATTACCCGAATTTATAGCGTTCTACATCTTCGATGAATAAAAGAAAAGATAAACAGATGAATAAACATTTTTGCCGGCGCATAACGTACTTTTTTTCGACAACGGTAGGGGAACGGATCGCGTTAATCGTGGAGTCACCGTAACGTTATTACAGCCGAACGTTCGGACAAACGTTTCCGGTCGCGGACACGGAGACATCATTTCTCCTTATCTGAGGTTCGGTTCAGCACGAGAGGGTGTAGAGATCGCAAGCGTTTTCCGCGTGCGAAATCGCGATTTCGTTGCGCGCCGCGCGGCGACGACGGCGATATCCGCCAGAAAACGTTGGGAAATATCGCTTTTAAAGAGCCACGGCGACGCGAGAGAGAGAGAGAGAGAGAGAGAGAGAGAGAGTCCCCGCACGATGTCCCGCGGAGAATCGCGTGGGCCAGGATACGTGGTCGGAGCTGCTTTCTATGCTAAAGGGCCCGGAATGCTCGCCGCCTCCCTTTGCGCGCTATCTAACGCCGCGCGACTCCTACGATATCGTGTCGCGGGCTCTTCGTAAATTCAGCCGTTCTAAGAAACGGCCGAGCCCCTCTCTCTCTCTCTCTCTCTCTCTCTTTCTCGTCCCCGAAAAAAACGGCCCCCACGACCGCGCGTTCGATAATTAAATGATGATTGCGTTTCCTGCGGATATACGAGGAGATACATTCGACGGACTCTCTGACGAGTCTACGCGGAGAAGTTTCATGCCATTTCGGTTTCGTCTCGTCTCCGGAGCGGAGGAGGCGCGAATCGCGAGATAATATTTCAGCAGCAACGACTCGGTAACGGCGTTATCTCTCCTCGTTAATGACGATGACGGTGAGGCAATTACATTTTTCGACTAACGGTAACGGGAATAGACGTTACTTTCAGCGTGACTTTGCACATGTGGGATGCATATACATAGGATGGGACGGCAGCGAATCGTGAAAGAGAGATCTTCGGCGGAACTCGGGGAGGAAGTGAGGAGGAAGATCGCAGCGACTCGTGACCATTTGACTAACGGCTATATAAATCACGGTAACGAGATACTTTTGAAGAATACACGAGAGGAAAACAGCCCCGTCAGTCGTTTTTCTGCTCAGGGATGTCCAGGGAGAATAAGAGGACCATGCTTGGAAAACTTGGTCACAGAAACAACAACAAGATTCTCGTAGAATGTCTTCCAGCCAGTCGATTGTTCCTGTTAACGGAGACGTCGCATCTCGTCAGCGAATTCCCCCTTCCCTATTCACAGTTACACAAACGCATTTCTCCCGTGTAATTCCTCTCCAGTCCTCGCCGTTGCTCCTATTCCTATCTTTCTTTCCTCCCGACCGTGTAATTTCCTTGGACGGCCCGGGGACCGAAGGTGCCCCGGGAATCTGGAGGCTGGCAGCCGGATTGGAAAAGGCGTCCACGGTGAAAGGGTGAAGAAACAACCAACCGGCCGGCCGGCTGGTCGGCCGGCCGAGGCGAAGTCACGGCGCGGTGACAGACCGGCCCGCGCGTTCAATCATCGATCGCTCTTGTGCTCGCTCGCTCTCGTGCGTGGGTGCGCCAGCACGGCGCGACGCCGGTGGGAGAATACATTTCGGATTTTTGTCCGGCGGGAAATTTGCGTGCCGCTAATGGCATCGCGACGCCTACGGGGCCCGGTGAGGCTAGGCAACCTGCGACGTTTCGCGCGCTACCGCGTAAGGCGAGGCCGGAGAGGCCAGGCTGCCCACCCGATATCCCTCCTACGGGAAAGAACGGGACGCGGAGAGGAACAGGAGGGAGAGAGAGGGAGGGAGGGAGGGAGGGAGGGGAGAGAGAGAGAGAGAGAGAGAGAGAGAGAGAGAGAGAGAGAGAGAGAGAGAGAGGAGAGACGGGCGCTTTTCTCGGTCGGTCGGATCCACCTACGGGAGCGAAGGAGCGAGACCGAGAATGCCGGCCGGTCTCGGCCCGGAGCGGTTTATATGTCCGCCCGCTCGATCGACGCGATCGATCGGCCAACTGAATCGCCGTATTTCCGCCGAACGAGTTCACCTACGCGAGCACGCCGATAGGATTTCTCGGTTACCCGCTCCGCTCGCGCGACTCCCCCTCCCGTCGCGTGGTCTCTCTCTCTCTCTCTCTCTCTCTCTCTCTCTCTCTCTCTCTCTCTCTCTCTCTCGCTCTCGCTCTCGCTCTCCATCTCGCTGCCATTCATCCCTCGCTCCGAAGAGCTCGCGCAGGGATTGAATTTTCGCTGCGGGACTTCGACGTCAATTTCATTAATCTGCCCGGCCGGCGCGGTTATTTTCGGATCTCGCGGCGTCTTACATTCGGCGCCAGCATCGAGAGCGCGCCGCTCACGAGACGCCGGCGTTTCTCTCGCCGTCTTTTTCTCCTCCAGCAGGGGATGACGACGACGACGATGACGACGATGACGACGATGATGGGGAATATTCCGCGAGTATATTTTCGCGACGTACTCTCTCCTCCGCACTGACATTCCTACGCGATTCACAGGAACCGAGGTATCTCGCGATAGTCGCGGCATCTCTCCTCTCCGCGGGATGGGAATGTCTTTCGGCAACGGAGGAGGATATTACCGACTCGCCGAGAGCCGAACTCTCGACCGTGCTATTGACGCTCTCGCGTGGCGTGCTCGATGCGCGTTATCGATGCGACGGTGTTCACATTCCGATAACGTGATCGGCACAAAGAACGTATACACGTAGCGAACCGCGAGGCAGAATTGAAGAAGAGAACGAGAGAGAGAGAGAGAGAGAGAGAGAAAGAGAGAAAGAGAGAGAGAGAGAGAGAGAGAGAAAGAGGGAATACAGAAAGAGTCTACTCACGTCCTTGCTCGGGACGCAGAGCGGCGTTCCTTCCTTGACGATGCCAGCCTCGACCATCACGCCGACTACGATCGGGTCTCTCGAGTTGAACACGTACTGAAATTCAAACGGGCGTCGCTTTAAGAACCGACGAGAAAAAAGGAAAGCTCCGCGCGGCGGCACGCGGATGCTCGGCGCGCGTAAATCCCGCTTGTTTATCGCGCCCTTTCACCCCCGCACGATTCGCATTGCGCTCACCTGCGGCAGGATTTTCAGCTTGCACGGGAACACGGCGATGTGCTTGTGTTCGTCCCGCTTGCGCTGCTTCAGTTCCTCCCTGTAGGCGGTGAATTTGTCGAACAGGTGGTAAATAATGTCCGCTTGGAAGATCTTGACGCCCAGCGAGTCCGCCAATTCCTGCGCGTCCTTCTCGATCTTCACGTCGAACGCGAGAATCGTGGCGTACCTGCGGACAAGTTGATCGATCGACTCGCGATACCAGGCGGGTTTTCCCCGCGAAAGCCGGGAGAACACTCGGGAAATTGTCATGGAATTCTCACGCACGTGGGACGAATTCATCCTTGTCAAATTGGATCGTTTCGAAATGGATCCGTACCGTGGAAATTCAGGCCCGAAATTTTGGACGGATTTTGAAAAAACTGTTCGAGATGCAGGCATCGAGACATCTCGATACGTGTATCCCGAAATGCTAAGACTAGAAGGGCGTAAACAATATTACTGCGTCGAATGAAAGACGTCCTCCGTAGAGGATAAATTCGTCCAGTTGCACGGAGGGAATATTTTTCTACATCTCAATTCTTTTAAATTTTATTGTTCTCTCTTGACATTACAAACAGATTGCCTGTAGAATTTACTTTGCTGATGGTAAATTTCCTCAATAATAAGCTTTAATTCTTATAAAACACAAATATCACGTATGAAACGGGAGGATGATAAACAGCAAAATATTGACGCGTTTCTTTCTTTCGTACAGAATCCTACGGTAATTTTCGCCATATAACATTCTCTCTTCCGCAAGTCTCAACGTTTTCGTCGAGGAAAATTCCGGAAGAAAAGATCCAAAACGTCAATAAACATATACACGCACACGCGTGCATGCGACGATGTTACACACCGAAGTCGATTTAGACGTAATTTCACTGAGATGCAACGTGACGTAACAATGTGTGTGTGTGTGTGTGTGTGTGTGTGTGTGTATGTGTGTGTGTGTGTGCGTGCGTGTGTGTGTGTGGAGCAACTAGATTACAATTTAAACGATAATCGAGACTGTGTACTCACTGGCTGTCGTGCTCCAGCATGATGGAAGCCTTCATGACGTCCTTCTTGACGACCGGCCCGATGCGAATTCCAGCATACTGCACACGCACAAACACGAAAAGCGACATTAGCGCGAGCAAGACGGGCAAGAGCGGAGGCGGGGGAGGAAAAGGGTTGTTAGATGCGAGAGCGATATCACACGGCATCTCGCGAGACGCTGCGGCCCGTCATCATTACGCAACGACCAAGTCGCCCTGATTTCGCCCGAAGCGTGCGCGCGCGCGCGCGACGACCATATCGCGGCGTATCGCGGCGACGTCATTACACATACTTTCCAGCCATCGCGTTATTATTTCGCACATTGTTGCGCAATCGAGGCGGCGAGTAACGAGACCGCGGTAACGATCCGACCATGCCGCCGCTGTCGGCGTCGGTCACAATCGCGCTCCTCACTCGTCATATCCCGTGCTAACTCGCGCCAGTTTCTTACGCACAATGGGGACTCTTCATCGACGTCGTTGACACTCGTCGCGCCCGATCACGTGAACGCGCAAAAACGCCCGGCTGTTTGCCCCGAGCCCGAGGAGTAACTGTCCCCGCGTATGTAAACAAGGAGGGTTTTTCTTTTCTTGTACAGCCGAGTCTCACAACGGACGTACAAATATTTACGCAGGGAGTCACGGCTAGCGCTCTCTCTCTCTCTCTCTCTCTCTCTCTCTCTCTCTCTCTCTCTCTCTCTCTCTCTCTCTCTCTCTCTCTCTCTCTCTCCCGGGGAATAAGGACGAACGAATTGTTTCATGTAAACATTCGCTCCGGATCGGAAACGAGATCAACGATCTCGGCGCGCTGTTTTGTTTATGCGGAGAGAAAGGACGAGAGAAATGTCATGCCTGATGAATCGATATGGCGGAACAAAAAGGGAATCATATCGACTGTGCAATAATAATAATGTCGCTACTTGAGCCTCGTCGTCTCTTATCGAATGCTCCATGCGCGTTGTTGACTTTCCAAGTATCGTCCAAGCGTGTCCTTGCGAGAATCGCGCTTTGAGGACATAAACTCCCGAGATGAAAGCTTTCCGATCGATCTGTCAACGTCGTTTAATGGGAGAATCAACGTACGCTATCTTCACCGAGGAGGAACGCAACGCTCTCGAGGTGCTGCGGATTCGACGCGTGATTCTCCGAGCATCTCCGAGCTGACGTTACGAGACGAATCTCCGAAATCATTGCCACCGAAATCCCGTGTGCGTCTTCGGGGGTCTCTTTCTCTCTCTCCTTCTCTCTCTCTCTCTCTCTCTCTCTCTCTCTCTCTCTCTCTTTCTCTGTGTATGCGTACGACTAGGCAGAAATAACCAGTGACGCATGCATGCCGCCCAGATTCGGCCCAGAGTCGGTGCAGCGAGACGGGACGACACGGGGACGAGACTACGATGACGACGACGGCACGGCGCGATGCAACACCGTTGAAATCGAAATAAACGCGACGATGCACCTACCTACAAACAAGCGAGCCGCTCTTGGCGGCGCCGAGGAAACGCCGAGGAAACGGCCGCTTCTCGGATCCGCCAGACACGCCACGGATCTACCGCATGGACGACGCAACGAGAGAGCGTAGCGTTATGAAATAATCAAGAGGGTTGTTCTTACTCGGGCAACTTGTCTCGTGCAAAAAGCCGGAGCGAGACGAGTATATTTTGTTCCATTCCGACTTATGTGCCACCAGTTCGGGAAGTTGTTCGAAGGAGAACAAGCTGAAGGTGTGTGTGGCTTGGAGATCTAAGGGACCTACGACGTCGCGTTCCGCGATTTTATAAGTCTTTTTCAATTACGACCACGACACTGTCGTGAATAGTTGAATTGAAATGTAGAGGTCCAAGAATCGACCTCAATCGACCAATTGATTATTCTTCAGTCGCAAGGAAAGTAATCGGTTGCGATTGGTCAATTTTCTTACGATTCTCGCGATTTAGGATTTTCCGCTTTAGTGGCCGAACATGAAAGCCAAAATAATAAGCACGTCTCCCAAGCTGGGTGCGTATTTCGGCATCGGTGCGTTCACCTTGCTGACTTTGGGGCTCAATTTTGACGTGCCACTTTTCATCGACAAAGTCGCGCAAAGTCGAGAGCGCTCCGAGCGCGCGGTCTCGTTACAAATCGCCTCGAAAGCACGTCTCTCTCTCTCTCTCTCTCTCGCGCGCGGTGTGCTTCTAAATTATACTTCACACTTCACCGGTGATTGCACATCGGTGCCTATGCACCGTAATCGAACGCTCGGCGAGTCGACGCTTCGACAGCGACGCTCTCGCTGATCCCCGGCAGTGTCGGACGGCGCGAGATTTCGCAGCGCAGGTTCATCTCTATCGCGCTGATATCGCGCGGACAGGAACGAGCCGGTTGTTTCTAATCGTGCGAATAAACACTGCCGGCTGGCAAGTCGACGATTAATTAGGAGCACGCACATGCTTATTTCCGATAACTGTCGGACGCTGATGCTGCAACATATCACGCTCCGCCTCAATCACCGGCCGTAAAGGGAAGAGAGATCCTCGTGATCCTCGCGCCGTGATTACGCGCGAGTATTACGCTTCGCGCAAGCGCGAGCGCGCGCGTCTGTACTTTTCCGCCTGCAAAACGGATATCAGTAATCCGTCAGTTAACCCGATACGGTCGATGCCTAATAACCAGCCGACGTTCGATACGTTCGGGATTAATTGCCGCGTTAAGAGCCCGGCTCGGTCGAAGTTGAACATATTGTAAATACACCGTAAATACACCTTCAGATCCTATCTCATCTTGCCCTTTTCGTTCCTCGGTGCTCGTTACTCGTCGCTGCATACGCGTGTTTTCAGCGCCGCGTGTGCACGTAATTTTCTAATTATTCCCAGAAAGCTCCTTAATGTAGGTGCATTAAGGTCACTTTTAAGTGACCTTTTAAGTTACGACGCTTTTAAGTTAAGACGAAGATCGTCCGAGGGAGCGCGCTTTTGATACGCGTCAACGACGATTTCGACTCGTTTCTATACACGGAGAGGATTCTACGATGAAAATTACCGTGGGACTTTGTAAACGAGACATTCTGCCTTAATTTATTATCACTTTGTTTCGTATGCGCTACTTGTATTTTAGAAACTGAATACACCATTAAAAGATTTACCACGATGCTTGGCAAGATAATTCCTCACGACCCTCCTGTTCCTGCGTATCGCTAAAAAACGCAGTAGATTCGAAGGAAGTTTATATGACAAAGAAACTTGTGCAATATACTCTCTCCGTGCGCGAGAGAAAATCGGTCCGGAACGAATGTGGTGAGCGCGTTGAGACCGAAAGAACGACGATGTCGGACACGCTGAGAGACACCAGATAATAAATATACCGAAAGGATTACCGAAGGAATTACCACCTTGAAGCGTCCTGCATATCGCTCTTAGCCCCCATAGAACGAAAGAAAACACAAAGTTATTAATACTTTTCTCAGGGTCGGTCGATTCATTCGGAAGCACGTCTGTCTCTCAAACGGACAGCCTAATGTACTCCGGTTACGCGTGTCCATTTTTATTCCTGCACGTTTGCGCTCCGTGGAGAGTACGTCAGTCGTCGTAACACGAAAAAAGGGACGAGCAAATAAATATTCCACAGAGCACGCGTCCGTCCCTCACTCAGTCATTCTCTCTCTCTCTCTCTCTCTCTCTCTCTCTCTCTCTCTCTCTCTCTCTCTCTCTCGCTCTCTCTTCCTTCTCTCGTTCCTTCGCCGCATCCTCCGCGATTGTAACGATAATTACTTTCGCAGGTATACAGGCTGTGGTAGCTCCTATTTACGCGTCAATTCTCAAGCCGGTATAACCAGGCTCTCGCTGGCCGATAGTCGGCGGGCGATCGAGGGAGAGCGAGGGAGAGACAAACGAACGGGGACGGATGAACGGGCGGAAGATGATACGTTCCCGAGGACTTTCCGAGATAAGCGTATTTTAGAACTTCCGGTGCGCCTCGCATTCCGATCCTGCCGTGCCAGATGCCGCGCCGCCGTCAACTCGTCGGCGGTTCTATCGACGCGCGCGTTTTATCACGCATTCGCCGAGGGAACGGAATGACGACTGCCGACGTAGTAAGTACGTCGGGGAGGGCGAGTGAGGGATAAAAATTGATGCAGGAAAATCCATACGATTCCGTGGGAATGTCAACACGCTTGGACACGCTGAACGCATAAGCGCGCGATTAATCACGTTATTAATCACAAAATTACGCTCGATCGATCGCTCGGAAGCTTCCATTACTTCGAGCCGAGCGTATCTTTTTTCCCGAAGCGCGCCTCCTACTCTTTCCTTCAACTCGACGTCATTCCTCGAAGCGAAACGACGCGGCGTTTAGAATCGACGAACAAATCGACGGGGGATTTCGACGAGAGCCGCGCGCCGGCGTGAGTTCCCGTCGACGACGTGCCTCCCGGTGCGCGATCAAAATTCGTAGCGAGTCGCGACTCGACGATACTTCGCTTTGGACGAACGGATGCTCTCGAAGAAGCGAAGAGCGCAAGGGGGAGAAGGACAGGGCAAGAGAGGTGCCGGTGACGGTGGAAAAAAAGTCGAGTGCAGGAGAGAAAGAGAGGAGGGGGAAGAGAGAGAGAGAGAGAGAGAGAGAGAGAGAGAGAGAGAGAGAGAGATCTAGTACGACGAGAAAAGGCGGACACGGCAGATGTTGCCGGCGAAAGAAACGCCGCTGGTACAAGCGGGAGGAAGTTGGGAGGAAGAGTAAGACGACGAGGAAGCGGGACGAAGAGGAGGCAGCCCGGCACAGGGTGAAGAAGGGGCCGCGCGGGGGACTCTGGAGGAAGGAGGGAGGGAGGGAGGGAGGGAGGTGCTTCCGGCATTTAAAACCAGCCGTCGGGGCACGGATCCTCTTTAGCCTCTCGTCGTAACTGCGGCACGCTCGCCGAAGAAGGAAACGCTAATTTATTAAACTCGCCTCCCGTTCCGCTCCTCCTGCATATCCTGCCGGCGCGCGCGCTCGCGCACCGCGCGTACGATTAGCCGTCACCGAAGGACGACTCCCGTGCGCGCCTCTTTCGGCGGCTCGGTGCCGCCGACGAGAAGGTGACTTTTTCGCGCTTCCTCTTCGCGACGGACGCCCGACACGGTCGCGCGCTCTGGCAATGGAGAGGAGAGCGAAGAAGACGAGCGTCATCTCGAGAAGCATATCGAGCGCGAGACGCTGATAAGGGAGCGCGGCACGATAATCGACACGGATATTACATAACGTACGATTTTCTTCAGACTCAACGCGAGTTTGTATTCTCGCGGTTGACCAATTTTTCCCTCACGATTTGTCGTAAAAATAAGCGACGAGGAGAAATAAAAGAGAGAGAGAGAGAGAGAGAGAGAGAGAGAGAGAGAGAGAGAGAGAGAGAGAGAGAGAGAGAGAGAGAGAGGGAGAGCGAGAGACGGAACCCGAGGACTTTGGCCAGATGTGTGTCGCAGGAAGGAACTATAATTATAAACCATCTGCAACTACAAATCCCCCCTCTCTCGGTACAATCGCAACCTGTGACTATAAATAAATAATCGGCGATCCGAAAGAACACACCGGTTTTTTTCCGAGAGAACTTGGCGAGATTCGATAGAGACGAGCGCGAGAGCAGTTTAGCGAGAAAGTCGAGCGCTGTTCATGAGGGAGATCACGGCGGGGGTGCATCTTCGAGCATCCCTAGACCAGATGAACCGAGATTTGCGCAGCGTTTGGCGCGTTAATCCAAGCAGCTTTTCTCGATCGCTCAGTAAGAAAAAGAAAAAGAAAAAGAAAAAGAAAGAAACGCGCCCACGGCGCGGCGGAGCGTGCACGGGCGCTCGCTCGCGTCCGCGCCCCGCATCCGCTCCCATGTCCCCGGCATATGCAGGCCGCACTCATATGCCGCGGTTAGAAACAATGCGAGGAAACGAGCCATCTTTTCCTGCTGCACCGGCGCGGAAGAGGAGCGAGCCGCACTTCCGCCCGCCCGTGACGCGAACGGTCGACTCGCAGGTAACAAGGCGCTTACGAACGAACGAACGAACGAACGAACGAACGAGCGAGCGAACGACTGGCCGGCCAGGTGCCGGCGAAATTTTCAGAATGGCCGCAGAATAGCGGAAACGCGGAGGGCCGGAAGGGAAACCGCGGATACGGGCGAGCTCTCCTCAAGGCGACAAAGGCCGGAGGATTTCCTCGATTTTCCCCGCAACGAGCTCGCCCGCGCGAGGACTCTCACGCTCTCCGGAAAGACCACTCGCCGGCTCTAGATTCCTTTCTTTCTTCCCTCCTCTTAATCCCGGGGAACCCTCCCTTCATTAGAGCGCCTCGATATCTCGCTCTTAACACGCTCCGTACCGCATAGGTCACCACGACGTGGGTCACGACGTGGTCGTGGTTCCGTTCGAAAACGGTGCGCAATCTCGTGACATATTCTTGCAATTATCATTTAACGAATAATCCTGCGGTGTTTAACGTGTTACGACAAAGTGGGGACCACCGGTGACCCACGCGGCGTGGACGACGAGTCACGCGAGACTGGCACGGCACGGAACGGCGTTAAGGAGAAAACAAAGTGAGAGAAGAGGAATAAAAATTGCCGTAATTTTTGCGCTCGCAGACTCTCCCGACGTCCAAGTCAACGGTCTCGGCGGATTTCTCGGCGGACACCGCGTGTAAACGCGTCGCGTGGACGACGGACCGGTCGTCGGTCGTCGGTCGGTCGGCTGCGATAATCCGGATGAATGGATTCCCATCGGCGGAGAATTCGAAAACGCGTCGCGTCGTCAGTCAAGCAGCCCCAATCTGCCAGCCAGTCAGCCAGCCAGTCAGCCAGCCAGCCAGCCAGCCAGCCAACGGAGCGGAAATCCTAATTACGTACGATTGTGTAATTTGTTAGACAAGAACGATAGGTATCGTGGCGGTTATGAAAATGCATTAGTCTCGTTTCGAGGGAACCGGCTTGATGCATAACTGGCGTGTAAGAAACTGCTGTCGTGCCGAGTGTTCAGAAACAATGCGAGGAAGCGAACCATCTTTTTCTGTTGTGTTCGCATTGAAACGGAGCCGAGAACGCGCCTCCGTCCGCTCGTGACGGCGCGCTCCGATCCGCTCCGCTCAGCTCCGCTCCGGCTGGATACGCGCTCTCGAGAAAACGCACCGAATCAACCCGGCCGCGTCGTCGGCCGCGAGCGTGCACAATGCGGCGGGCGAAAAAGCGCCGCGCGCGTTCCTGTCGTCCTTGTCACACTCGATTGCAAAAAAAGAAAAAGAAAAGAGAAAAGGATACAGGAATATACCTTCGGCTGAATAGCGGCTGAAAAGCGACGTGAGAGCAGCGAATGTTGTCACATTGAACGCCACACGCTCCGGCGTTCGAGATATTAATCGCGAGCCGAGGTCGATTAATTATTTTAATTAATTAAATTCAACGAGAGGCCTGGAGACTAAAATTTGGAGAAAGCTCAGAGAGCCCGACGACGACTCCTCGCTGCTGGTCTCGCGCGAATTTAGACGCTTGGTCGGTAACGGCGTCGCGTGTATACGCAACCGGCAAAGTTGAACGGCTTCCGCTCTCCTTCCATCGGCTCGCATTTTCCGAGGCAAGGCTACTGCATGCGCGGCGCATTCAGCTCGGCAGGAATACGGCCCGAAAACACCGCCAAGTCGGAAGTGGAACGCACTGAGCGGATAAGTCGACGGCGGACAGATTGTTTTCGAGCTTTACTCCACAGTCTGTCTGTCTATCTACCTGCCTACCTAACCTATACCTATACCTGCGCGGCTCTCGCGACGCGAGAGCGCTATAAGCAGGCAATCGTCAATCAACGCGCGCTCGCCGCAGGTTCCGAGAAGAGCGTAGCGCGCGTCCCGATTAAGCTATATATTCCGATCCCGTTCGCCTAAACGGGACGAGGACAGGAAGGCGCCCGATAAGAATCGTTAATTCAACGTCGCCATCGCGCGACGATCGATCGCGCTCGTCGCCGTCGTTCAATTACGCGAATGCGCGTCGATACGTGCTCGCGTAATAATAACAGCCCGCCTCGACACGGCGGCGCTCCTCGGACAAACATCTCTTACAGTCACGGGACATTCTTGACCCAAAGACACTACGCGACGCGATCCTCCTCTCCCTCCCGTTGAAATGAAAAGTTATGACTTCCTGTTGTCCGCGACTGCGAATGCGAAACTGCATCGCGAGAGTGCACGGCAGAGAGGGGAGGAGAGAGAGAGAGAGAGAGAGAGAGAGAGAGAGAGAGAGAGAGAGAGAGAGAGAGAGAGAGAGAGAGAGAGAGAGAAAAGCTGTTGTTTCCCGATTTCGTCCACGCCCTGCAATCGCTGAGACCCTTGGTCTCGTTTCATTCAACGCATTAGAGCACTCGACACACAAAAGAGACTCTCAATCGCAACACGATCTGCCCGTGAATGAGAGATTCGGGCAAGCTGCGCGAGCGAGCGTGCTTCGACGCGGACGCGTTCGTCACAGCTTCGAGCGAGGGCCACGTTCGATCGTTTCGCGGAATGACACTCGTCGCGAACGATCCAACGTCGCCTGTCGCATTGTTTCTCGAGAAAAAGTCAAGATGTACCTTGTAGCACGTCGAGTAGCACGGACGCTGCCTCTCCGCTCCGAATCTGCGTCGAGTCGTTTTTGCAGGCGCGATTTCGCATCCGCCATCTTTGCCGGCGTCCGTCCTGAAGTTGCCGCGATTCCTGAATCGACCGTCTGTTTGTACATACATTCACACGTATGTACGTGCATATGCATATATACACGCACGCACGCACATACGTACGTCCGTCCGTCCGTCCGTCCGTCGATCCGTCCACCCACGGTGCTCGTGCGCCGAGTGTGGGCAGTTTCCTGTACGTTGATCACGTATTCCTTTTTTCCAGCCTACACACGTCTGCGCGCGAGCGCGTGCACGCGGAGTCTCCATGTTGGCGAATGCGAGGCGTTCCGAGAGAGGAGACACACACACACACACACACACACAACACACACCACACACACACATACACACACCACACAAACATACATACACACGTGCGCGCCCATGTGTGCGTGAGTTAGTCCGCCAACCCTCTTGTCCCCCCTCGCCTCTTGGTCGTCCTCCCTCACACTGGCATCAACGCGCGATACTTGGACTCTCCTCTCCTAACCCCGACTAGCCCCTCGTCCCTCCGCCATCCCTTTCTCGTCGTGGAAACGTGTCTCTGTGTGCACGTGAGGAAGTAGTGAGGAAAGGGGGAGGTGCGGGGACAGGGCAGAGAGAGAGGATCGCCAAGCGATCGTGCGTGCGTGTATCTCTCTCTCTCTCTCTCTCGCACGCGCGCGCGCGCGTGCGAGCGCGTGTGCGTGTGCGATAAACCTGACGTCACTGGGCCACGTGATCACGCGATCGCGGTGGGGGGAGCCCATTCATAACCCGAGCAAGGACAGGCTTAAGGCCGTTTCGGACGGTGCGTTACCTACACCTCGAGCGCCGAAGATGACAGGAAGTTTTTGCCGTATGCTCAACCGCTCTGTACGAAGAGCGACCGGCACGAAGCACCGGCAAAAAATACTTTCGAACAGCCACACCATCTCCCTGTCTCTCTCGTTTCACCCTCCCCCCCCTCTCTCTCTCTCTCTCTCTTTTTCTTCGTCTCTCTCTGGTCGGCGAGTGTGCGCCGCGCCGATCGACCGTAAGATAGAATGGGGAAACGCGGTGCGCGCGACGCGGAATCGACGGAATCCCTCTACTACTACGGTCATTGTAGCGTAGCCAGCGTTGTGGAGCTTGTTGTGAATGATATCTCGAGGTCCCCCCGAGATAACGGGATATTTTTACCATAGCTCTTTCTCTCTCTGTCGCGCGCGCGGTGCTCTTATGTAAATATACGAGTGTATCGCGCGAGCGCGTCTGTCCGATAGCGCGGAGATAGACGCGCGCGATTAGCGCGAACCGCTCTCGCGACGATTACACTTTTTCTCTCTAAATAATAATATCGCCCGTAATCGACGCGTTTCGCGCGACGTGTACCGCGCGTACAAGTGCGCGATGTTTCGTTCTCCCTGCCGTTCTGCAGATGACCTTTTTTTTCTTTCGTTCTCTCTCTCTCTCTCTCTCTCTCTCTCTCTCTCTCTCGCTCTCTCTCTCTCTCTCTCTCTCTCTCTCTCTCTCTCTCTCTCTCGCGCGCGCGCGCGATACGAATCGAGATTAGCCTTGCAGAGCTTCGCGCTCTCAATTAGAGAGCCCCCGCGCGCACGTGCGATTGATCGGCCATAATCGACACGCTATCGTAACACGCGAGCAGCAAAGTTTTGCCTGGTTGAGGAAAAAAATTCGCCGCCGATCGAGACCACCACGTTGCGAATTCGTCGTCGATACACGCCGTCGTGGGACACCCTATAGAAGGCTGCGAGGCGTGCCCACGGTTGAACAGCGCGGCTGATAGCACGATGGATCACGAGTACAAGCACCGTGTGCGACCAATGAGCCGTATCCTGCTAAACTGTTAAGAAGGAAGTGGTTCGTTGCTGCTGCTGTTGCTGCTGTTCTCTCTCCATCTGTCTATCTGGCTACCGATCTATCTGTCTGCTCGTCCGTCTTTCTCTCTCTTTCTCTCCTCCCCTCTCCCTCTCTCTCTTCTCTCTCTCTCTCTCTCTCTCTCTCTCGTTCTCTCTCCGCCTAATCTATCTACGTGATTGTGCCGATGCACACACACTCGTTTCGCCTATTTATATATCCGCGCGCTTTGCTTCTTTTCCAGATTCGACGTTCTTTATGTTCTTGTCTATTATGCACGATTGTGTACAGAACTCGTTACTCTTTCTTTTATCTATTGAATGCATTGATCTTAGAGAATACAGAGATAGGAAAAGTGGTAAATCGTGATACCTTATGTTTGCAGAAATACGAAAGTGTATGTGCAGTTTGCGTTTGCGCAGACAGACAAGTTGTATGTAATCGCGCTTCAATCGCTAATAATAAAACAGTAAAAAAATTTTGGTAACGTATCATGATGCCGTCGAGTGTATACGTAGCGGTAGTGTAGAGCAAATGATTACAAGCAACCATGAAAGGTGCAACGCGTAAATGAAAATTACGGGTTCTCTTTCAAGAGGAGATACGTAAAGTCCTGTAAGTGAGACATGATTGTAACTTTTCTGCGAAAATAAAATGAATGTGGAACAATAAGCGTGGTATCTGCCCTGCTTATTTCCTTGTTGTGTATTCTCACACCTGAACCTGATCCCCCTCTTTTCCTTCCTCCTTTTTCTACACTCGCCGCGGTTTCGCAAAAGGTATCTCTCGCGCGACCACACGAATGATATTGCGCACAAAGAAAATAGATCTCGCGGTTATGTACTCACTGGTATTTTGCTGCTCTTCAAGAAATCCAACAGCGCCTCGAGAGCTCCCAACGTAGACGCCTGGACGTAAACTCCTCGTTCGGCTAGCCGTATGTTTCCGAGAGCGCTCGACAGCTCCTTGGCTATCTCTTCCTTCAACACTTCCACCTCGTCTGGCTTTTGCGCGACTTGCAGATTTAAGCCTGCGCGCACACGTTAACTAACGTTACTCTATATTTAGCACATAAAACGATCAAACGTGTTTTTTACCCCGACATACGACTGTTTACAAAGTAATAAATCGACATGAAAAGTACGTTACGTACCGGCAATGGCTTTCTCCAGATCTTTCGCGGCGATTTTCACTCCCTGAGCAGCCGTAACTTCACGATACTCGATGTATGCGTTCTAGAATGATACACATTCAAATAGTAAACAAACATTTCGAAAAGTGCAAATATATACCGCGGGAAACAGTGACGACAGTCGTAGCGTAAAATATATTTTTAGCAATTGAGTAAAACATATAACTATGAAAACATATAACTATAAAAGATTACCTTAACTCTTAATTCTTTTAACGGCTGCGGCATAAGAAGCGAGCGAATTTGCGTTACAATAGGCCCGTCCGTTCCAGCGATAATGACCGTATCGCCCTCCCTTAGCATTCCATTGACTAGAATACAGTCTATCGTGGTACCCAGTCCCGGCAATGCTTTCACTTCCAATACGGTAGCTTGAAGCTCCTTGCTGTACATGAGTCTCCTGGCCAGCGGGCCCTGACAAGCGTCGACTATTAAGGCCAATAGATTGCCCATACCTTCGCCTGCGTATCAACGTAACGACGTGTAAAAATCATAACCCGTAAAAATTATATGAAATAAAAAATATTTTAAATATGATAAGAGATTAGAATTCAAGTTAAAAGCTTCAAATTAGAAAAATAAGGAAAAAAAAAATATATATATATATTTAAAGATATAATGAAATTGTAAAATCATAACAACACACAACAACAATACCTGTTATGGCACTGGTTGGGACTAATGACACGTAACTCCTAGGATCTGGATTCTCATAAAACAAAGCTGCATTCAAACTCTGCTCGGCGAACTGTACAATTATGTCCTTTGACCGATTCTCGAATTCCCGCTGAGTATTAGGTGCTTGATTCTTCACGATGTCCTGAACATCCTTACGATTCATGGTCTGCCAATCGTATAACCTGAGGGAATCGAGTCACTATAACTATCTGGCTGTCAACAACCTCGCAACAGCGAACTGTCGCGGGTTGCTTGAAACCGCACGAGTATCTCTGGTTCCTGAATTGTACAAACGACCGACTTCGCTTACCTGTCAATTTTATTAAGAGCAACAACGAAAGGACATTTCTTGGCTTTCAACAAATTGATACTCTCTAGCGTTTGCGGCTCTAGCCCGTGCATAATATCTACAACTAAGATCGCTATATCACAAAGAGAAGACCCTCTGCTTCTGAGATTGCTGAAAGACTCATGACCAGGTGTGTCTATGATCAAGAGACCGGGGATTTTAAATTTCTTGTCGGCAAACTGGAAACAAAGAGAGAAGTGCGGTTGTAACGTATCTGTACCTGCAACGTCCGAGGTACTCGCTAGAGCGTCTGTACTTACGCCTTTCACATGCTTCGTTGACTCTTGGATAGCTTCAATTGGCACATTAGTAGCACCGATTTGTTGAGTTATACCACCCGCTTCGCCGTCCTGCACGTTTGTTCTCCTCAGCTTGTCCAGGATCTTGGTCTTGCCAGTATCTACATGACCCAACACACAAACCACGGCAGCTCTCAAGTTATCCAATGACTTTTTCTTTTCGGCTTCAATACGGCGACTTTGGATTCGTTCTCGCGCACGTTCCTTCTTGCGCGCTGCATCTGGTAGTTTATCCTCTACTTCGCTCTCTTCGTAGCTCTCGTCGCCCTCTGACTCGGATTCACTGCCGCTCTCGCTCTCAGTTTCACTCTCGGAAGACTCTTTCTTCTCCGGCTCGGTTTTGGCGGAGGCTTTCTCGACGGATTGTTCCTTCGCTTTCTCGGGGGTCTTTGGGGCGTCGTCCGATTTATCTGGAATTAAGCAATTAAAATTTGGTTACTCTTTTTGCGAGGTATATATAATAATCAGCATGATCTCTTATAATCATACAAGAGACAGAGTACCTTCTTCTTGCTCGTCTTCCGTGCTGTCGGCATCCCACGAATCCTTAACATCTTCCTCTTCCTTTTTCTCCTTCACATCCTTCACCTCCGTTGATTGGTCTATAATTTCCACTTGCACTTGATCCGTAGGTGCTTCGCTGTTTTCAAGTTTCTCGTCTTCCTTCTTCTCCACGCTAACTTGCTGCTTCAACTTGTTCGGTCTGACTCGTGTTCCTGAATCAAATCAAATGGTCAACATAAAAGTTTTACACGGTACTCACACGATGGTTTTCTTTTTTTTGTATCAGCGTATATCGCAAAATACCTGGTCTAGGTTTTTTCTCTCCCACATCCGGCAAGTCAAGACCCTGAGCTTTAAGCGCTTCGATCATCGCCTGTGCCCTGGCTCTGTCCTGCTTCTGTTTCGTTGTTAAGAATTTGCCCTCCGCCTTTAATCTCTCTTTTCGCTGCTTTTCCTTCAATTTCTTCCTCTCCTTGCGTTCCTGCTCAAGCCGTAATTGTTCGAGTCGCGCCTGTTCCCGCAATTCCTCTTGTCGTATCCTCTCTTCTTCCTCGCGCTTCAATCTTTCTTCTTCTTCCTTCAACTTCCTCAAAGCTTCCTGCATAGCAGCAATAGTTTTCTTTCCAGGACCTTTGCCTATTACAGTTTTTTGTTGTATCAGAAAAACAATCAATCGCACAAATAACGTGTCGAGTAACAAGTGACAAGAGAAGAGCCTTACCTTTCTCTTTAACTTCCTCTTTAGCACCTTTTTTCTTTTTCTTCTTGCTATCTTTGGGTTCAATGGTATCAGCATCAGTTTCCATGTTATCTTGTTTTTTTTCAGGTACAGGTTTATCATTCTTCTTCTCATCAGTTTTCATTTCATCCTCCTCTCCTTTCTTGTTGATTTCTTTGGAAGCATCCTGTTGCAAATTTTAACTATTAATATACTGGAATGAAAAGTCTGCACACAAGACAGAGATTTGTGCAATATATAAATCCTATTTTTTATTTACCGCTTTTTTCTGCGCCAATTTCTTCTGCTTCTCCCTCTCCTTCTTTTCCTTCTTCTTTTGTGCCGTTGTTTTTACAGTGCTAACTTCCACATCCATGTTAGTATTATTTATCTCTACAGCTACTGTATCGTCAGAGAGAAGAATGAGAGCGGCCACCAGCTGTATTTCGGGCAGTGCTGTCAGGTGCAATATGTTGCGACGCTACAGCGCATGCGTGAGATGACGTACTCCCTGTTTGAGTGAAAGTCTCAGTATCATATCTTTTTTAAGGTATTATAGCGCCCATATTATACTATGCATTGAGAATTGCAACCGAGTATTTAGTAAATTAGATAATCTAAATCGTGGTTATTTTAATTGATCTGATAGTAATTCTCAATCTATAGTCTAATATGAGTCTAATATAAATATTATGTAACAGTTACATAGTTGAGTGAAAAATTATAATGTTAATGTAACGTAATTGTTATTTAGTATCCACTGGAATTATAATGTTAATATAACTGATATTTAGTATCCACTGTACAATATAATCTAAGATAAGGCACTCGCGCAAGAAGCACGGGAAAATTACACTGGAACCTGGAAGACAGCTGATCGGATAGCGCGGGCCCCTTCATGGACCCTGCGATGCGCTTTATTGCCGTCATTGGCATAGAGCTACGTCATCTCACGCATGCGTTGTAGCGTCGCAATATATTGCACCTGACAGCACTGATTTCGGGGGATACGGCCAGAGAGAAACCTGAGAGCGGCCATCAGCAAAGATTTAGAAATTTTTATGAATTCGACGCGCCCCCTGAGAAAATAGACGTCAACTACGTCGACACGCCCCCTGAGAAAATAGACGTCAACTACGTCGACACGCCCCCTGAGAAAATAGACGTCAACTACGTCGATGTCGTTCGGTAACGAGGTTTGTCTGTAATAGTTTGGTTCATATCTGAGCAACTACACAGAATATAGTAAAAGTTATATCAGAGAGAAGAATGAGAGCGGCCACCGACCGTATTTCGGGGGATACGGCTAGGCGCATTTTAAATACGCCATCTGACCAAAATGCGCCTAAACTACGTCCGCTAGGCGCACTTTCGCGGTGATAAAAGTAAAATGCGCCTAGGTTCGTGTCCGTACTACTTCCATGCAATGGATAGTAGATTAGAAAAAGACAGACGACAGACAATCGTTCCGTCTTTGTCTCACTATTGAGCGGCGCGCGGCAGTAAACACGAGGCGAGGTAGCGGCGATCTTATCGCTAAGCGAACATCTCTCCGCTTTTCTTTCATCTTTCACGCTCCAGAGACATCAAAAGACGCGGTAGCGTCTCGTGTCAAGGGAACGTGCGAAGCGAGGAATTATTTTTCACGCACCCTAGGTAGCACATGGGAGACTAGACGAGCGTCGACATATTATCTGTTTCTTTCCCGCTCGTCTAGCTTATTGACTGCGTGAGCCGCGAGATTTTTCTCGCTACTCCTATACCTCGCTCTTTCTCTCTCTCGCTCGTTCTTTCTCTCTCTCGCGCACTTGCTCGCTCTTCCTCTCTTCTCGTGTTCTTACGGCTTGATTAAATATATTAATTACATGACAATATATATATAAATAAATGACACATATATAGTGTATATGTATATAAAGAATATTTAGTATTAATGCACAAATAAAGAAGAGAGAATTATAATGAGAGACGAAAAGTTAATAGAAATCCACTCTTAGCCAATATATACATCTTTTAAAAATGATTTGTTATTAAAGTATATGACAGAATAATTTATTTATGCTAATAAATTTAAATTAAAAATTAAATGAAATATTATTTGTTTTGTAAAAGATATTCCATTGTTACATTTTTCTTTTCGTAGCAAAAATAAATTTAGTCTAGTAAAAAAAGAAATTAGTTTTATTATCATATTTCAATTACGACTTTATTATTTAATTTTACGAATAGATAACGTGCATATTGTTGCTCAACGGAAACCGCGAGAAAATGGTGATCTCCGTCAAAAAATAAATGCAACTTTTTAATAATATAATAATTTTTTTACGTAAGTGTTTGTTTTTATAGTATAACCTGTTGAATTTTATTAATTATTAATTCAGCATGTTATAGTATAAAAAATATATTTTAATATAAAAATTAATGTAATATTAATTGTTTGCATTTGCAAGAAATATGGATAGAACAGGATAGGTTGCAATGATACATAGGAAGAAAAAGATAGATAGATAATGTTTTCAGTTTCAAGAGAACATTTGCTTAAACGTAAGTCTCTGCTGCTCAAATCTCTTCCTTCCTGTAGGAGGTTTTTGGCGGTTTCGGTTACTTTCCTCTACATTTATATTGATGAGTTGAAGCGCTTGTTTCTACGAGATGTTTAAAATTCGGCTGACTTTACGAGTGTTAACACTCGTAACTGGACCTAAGTAAGACTTTATCTATTTATCCATCTATCTTTTTCTTCCTATGTATCATTGCAACCTATCCTGTTCTATCCATATTTCTTGCAAATGCAAACAATTAATATTACATTAATTTTTATATTAAAATATATTTTTTATACTATAACATGCTGAATTAATAATTAATAAAATTCAACAGGTTATACTATAAAAACAAACACTTACGTAAAAAAATTATTATATTATTAAAAAGTTGCATTTATTTTTTGACGGAGATCACCATTTTCTCGCGGTTTCCGTTGAGCAACAATATGCACGTTATCTATTCGTAAAATTAAATAATAAAGTCGTAATTGAAATATGATAATAAAACTAATTTCTTTTTTTACTAGACTAAATTTATTTTTGCTACGAAAAGAAAAATGTAACAATGGAATATCTTTTACAAAACAAATAATATTTCATTTAATTTTTAATTTAAATTTATTAGCATAAATAAATTATTCTGTCATATACTTTAATAACAAATCATTTTTAAAAGATGTATATATTGGCTAAGAGTGGATTTCTATTAACTTTTCGTCTCTCATTATAATTCTCTCTTCTTTATTTGTGCATTAATACTAAATATTCTTTATATACATATACACTATATATGTGTCATTTATTTATATATATATTGTCATGTAATTAATATATTTAATCAAGCCGTAAGAACACGAGAAGAGAGGAAGAGCGAGCAAGTGCGCGAGAGAGAGAAAGAACGAGCGAGAGAGAGAAAGAGCGAGGTATAGGAGTAGCGAGAAAAATCTCGCGGCTCACGCAGTCAATAAGCTAGACGAGCGGGAAAGAAACAGATAATATGTCGACGCTCGTCTAGTCTCCCATGTGCTACCTAGGGTGCGTGAAAAATAATTCCTCGCTTCGCACGTTCCCTTGACACGAGACGCTACCGCGTCTTTTGATGTCTCTGGAGCGTGAAAGATGAAAGAAAAGCGGAGAGATGTTCGCTTAGCGATAAGATCGCCGCTACCTCGCCTCGTGTTTACTGCCGCGCGCCGCTCAATAGTGAGACAAAGACGGAACGATTGTCTGTCGTCTGTCTTTTTCTAATCTACTATCCATTGCATGGAAGTAGTACGGACACGAACCTAGGCGCATTTTACTTTTATCACCGCGAAAGTGCGCCTAGCGGACGTAGTTTAGGCGCATTTTGGTCAGATGGCGTATTTAAAATGCGCCTAGCCGTATCCCCCGAAATACGGTCGGTGGCCGCTCTCATTCTTCTCTCTGCTTTTACCTCACGCTCCAACACGCTAACTCGGCGTGCTGGTCGGCTGACGTCGGCGGGTTTGCTGCTTTCCGGGTGTAGAGCGACGTATGCCAGCTGCGCTGCGAACAAGTCATGCAGAATCGAGGAGGCGTGCGAAGGGGTTTCCTCGTCGAATGCGATCGCGATGGTGAACTCCTCCGGAGCAGGACGGTACATACACAACTACACGCACGAAGCCAACACTCGACACATGGAATACACGAGCGCGCTGAGATAACCTAGGTAGCGGAATCCTGCCGCGAGAAGTCGCCGTGTCTCGTTACTGGACGCGACATCTATCAGCTTCTTCTCCCTCCCGTGGAGAAGAACGAATCCTGGGATCTGCTCTTTTTAACTACACTGCTGAACTGGTGCAACAATACTGGCTCTGCGTTCAGAAGAACAAAATGATCAGTGAGCGCTTAGTGATTCTCGCTCCTGATTGGTAAATATTTCTCGGTCTTTGAAGAATTTAAAAGAATGCACCAGTCACAGACAATAATCACTAAGCGCTCGCTGATCACTTTGTGCTGCTGAACGCTGTCATTGATTCAGCAGTGCAATTAAAAAGAACAGACCAGTTGCCACCGCTGTGAATCTCCGCCTCTCTCTCTCTCTCTCTCTCTCTCTCTCCCTCCCTCTCCCTCTATCCCTCTCTCCTTCTCCCCCTCTCCCCTTCCCCCTCTCCCCCCTCTCTCTCTCGCCGGCGTCGACTCGTCAAAGATCTTCTGACTCAAAAGGATTTTTACTTTTCACGATTCCGCTCCTGCTGAGAGCAAGGTTCACGATCGTGCAGCAGAAGTCGTAAGAATCGCGTCTCTCGACCGAAAACGGGTGAAACTCAACGGGTCGTAACCTCGGAGAAAGCGACGGTAATCACAGATGCAGTTCGAGAAGCATCTTTATAGCATCTTACACGCTTGTAAATGAGAAATTTATGTTTCAGGCTGCGGGAGGACTTTGGAATTGGGCAATTAGACTTTCGAATTAGAAGCAGACTTACATAATCTCGCTATCTGGCGTCGGGCGGTCGGCTGTTAATCGTGTTTGGCGGTCGGCGGTTGACGCAACGTATAGTTCCAAAGTCTCCGCTACGAGCCGCCACTATCCACAACGAGGAACCAAGCACGACGTAGTGCGATTCAGCGACAGATCAGACGTATATTATTTTTTTAAGTTTTTAATCTTACGGACTAAATCGGTAGACCTTTTCATTTTTATGTTTTACAACTTGACGGTGCAACAGAGATTCGTTTTGTTTTCGAGCAGAACAATTTAATATAGCAGGTCGAACGTGCTTTTTACACCACGGAAATTAAAAAATTGTTTTTCCCGGTCATGAAAAATAGATAATATTTGGCAGGCTGCAACTTTCACGAGAATATGTAATTCAACGATTAAAAAATCTTTTCTAGAAGGATTATATGAGCAGACAGTCTCTAATTTTCATTGGTTTAAATAATTCTCTAATCGAACCAGAATATATTGACGAAACATTGGAGGTGGAAGAGGGGACAGATTTATAATAGAAATTTATGATAGAATTTTAAATAGACGACGTCAAATGGAATATATTTCTACGTTATTGTGTTGTTCTATTTTGTCGTCTTCATTTCCCACACAGCACACTTTATCTCAGGGACGTCCGACACCAATATCCTGAGGATATACAAATGTCTGTTGTTTTAGATCCTACAGAAATCTTACGGATATCTTTTTTAGTACCAATTTTTAAAAACTGAAAGTTTCTAAAAAGGAACTGAAAGTTACTAAAAGGGATATCCGTAGGATATCTGCAGGATCTAAAACAGCGGACATTTGTATATTCCCAAGATATGCCAAGGCGGTATCCCAGAATGATTTCTGTCGGATGTCCCTGAGATAAAGTGCGCTGGTGGGTTGTTAGTATTATGTAGAATTATGTAGAATAAATATGTATGAAAAATATAATCACGCGCTCCATCATATCGAGCAATACATGTGAGTGACATACGCGATATTAACGCGAATATAAATATATTTATACACTTTCCTTCAATATCCCTGACAGCACATGTTCTCCTGGGGACGTCCTAAGGACGTCCTGAGGATGAAGGAACATCCCCAGGACGTCCTCTGGACATCTGTGCTATTAGAGACGTGTCTCATTTGATATCTAATAAGAACGTTTAATGAAAGAACATCTAATTTCTGAAATTTGCTGAAAAACGATTTCTTCCACTGGAAATGAATGTCGAGATAAATCGAAACAAAAGTGTATGAATCTTTATATGCGCACATACGTTGCACAATTATTGTATCGTTTGTTTGTTAGATTCTATTATTATTAATATTAATATTAATATTGTTATTAATTATTAATATTATTTTATTAATATTTTATTATTGTAAGCGATTTATAGAGCTTGGCGTGTGCTTTCGGAAAGAATATATCCCAAATCCAACGAATCACAATTGTGAAGATATTGGCGCACATTCTCAAATCTAAATTCATGAAAAATCGTGTATATTTATAGTTACACTTCACTTGTCAAATCGGCGGAAATGCATAGAAAATCGGCCTCTCTATATACACAAACACGACGCGATGATGTTATTTTATAAATATTAGGCTGGCTAATTACAGCTTCACTTCGTGGCGTCAGAGTGATTGGCAAAACGAAAAGGAAATCGCAACGGTGACATGCGATCGCGACATCACTGTTAGTCACCGTGATGGAAGTAGAACGATATAATAACGATCGTATATCCGTATAATCCGATGCGACGGAAATACCGCCGATTATCAAGCGATGATATGCCCGTCCCCAGATACGATATACTCGTCGCGGCGGTAAACGTATAAATCTCGCGCTTAATTAGAGCCCGCAACACGTGCAATATTATTTCATCAGTTTCATCAAACGTGTCTGCGTTTAGATGCCATTAAAGGGTATCCCCACTATCAGTGACTATGCGACAATTGCACAGTAACTGAAGATTGACAGTCTTACGTTGTGTATGCAGCTGCGATAGTCGGCTAGCGCCCGTTATCGTATATTCTATGCTATAGATACTGCAAGTCGTTTATTTGCAAGTCGTATAGTATAAATTACTGAGATAAAGCAATTTGGCTAACATTATTTTCAGCAGTTGTTGAAAATCCGACAGATCAAGTTTCAAGGAACTTGTTCAGTGTGACGGACGAAGTGATCGTGAAAGTTTCGCGCGAAATATTCAAACCGCATATATACCTAACGAAAGTCAAGTACGAATTGCGCGAGAAAATATATGAGAAAAAAAAGCGCTACATTCAGATAATATTTGCCGAGACAGAAATACTTGTTTCAGTGGAATAAATAGAATTTGAGCTCAAACGACGTTAAAAAAATGAAAACGGAGCTTTCTTCAAGTCGAAGTTGTACATTTTCCAAATTAAGTTGAAATTTATTGATTTATCATTAATAGAACATTTGTTTCAGTTAATTCCAAAGTAGAAAAATAAATATCTCAAAAACGTCCGGAGAGCTTTCTTGCGAAACATAAGCTGCTCCTAGAGCATTCTCGGAGATCTTAAATTCAAAAAAGTAAATCGACACTTAGGTCTCTTAGGAAAATTCAGATATTACTACGTCAAAGTAAACGTTTACTACAAGCCGTCGAGACACACTGAATACAACTGAATTTTTATTCCACAATTGAGTTAAAAGAAAACTCAAGATAACTGGATCTTCAAAAATATTGTTTTTTTTTAAATACTGGCAAATAAATAGTTATGTTTATCTGATTCTAGTTCTCTTCTTTCTACATGTACATTCCACTATACAATTCAAAGTTGTTCAGACCTCGTTTATTTTTCATTTTATCCTGTTGTGATTCAAATTAACTACTCAGCGACGAACGACTCGATTTCAATAAATTCGACGACAACGGTATAAAAACTCATCCAAATATTAGAACTGTCGTAAAAATAATTCGGACAGGATAAAACGATGCGGTTATCAACAGTGATTATACATTGCTTGGTTTACCTGACGGTCTGCGACGGTTATCGTTTCCTCGGTGTGTTCCCTTTCCAAGGCAAGAGCCACTTCGTCATGTTCGAGGCCCTGATGAAGGGCATCGCCAGTAAGGGTCATCAGGTGGATGTGATCAGTACATACCCCCTGAAGAAGCCCTATCCGAACTATAACGACATTGTGAAGCTGCGTCCGTCCATGCAGCTAGTGAACAACATGACGTTTGAAATGATGCATCAGATTATCTCTGTGAATATAGCGCATGCAGTCGCGACGTTAGGCGGTAATGATGTCTGCAATCACCTGAGCAAACCGGAGATACTCAACCTGATACGAAATCCGCCGAAGGATCCTCCTTACGATGCGGTACTCATAGAGGTATGCTCGGAATACGGAGTTTACAGTGTCTGTGCTCGCAACGAATCGAACTGGACGCGTTCGGCTCTGAGATGATGAGAAAACGATAATTTCTTATATTAACATGTACAGGGTCTTTTGGAAACGAAAAATTGTGAAGATTCAGATCAAACTGAAAAGAAAAGTCAAGCACCATTTTGCAAAAATCGCAATAATTATTAAGTTATTAATGATTGAAAATTACCACATCTAGAGGCTCTTTTAATTGATAGCTTAAAAATTTGCTTGCATTTGTTTGCAAAATGGTACTTGACTTTTCTTCTCAGTTTTGATCCGATTAATCTTCACAGTTGTCTCGTCACTTTTATCGTGTTATAGTTGCTTCGACGTGGGACATCTTGTCAGCGGAAAGTTGATAAATCATCGGGTATGGTTTCAAAGCGGAAGCGGCTACTCGAAAGTTGAAATATTAGGTGCTTGCATGTATTTTGATCAGCGCCATATATTGGTGAAAATGCGAAGTATCAATGTAAAACAACCTAACCTAACTGTTAAATTCGATGGTTTCCACATTTCTCTACATAAAATAACAGTTTACCATTTAGTATTATTGAGTTATTCGGTGTATACAGACGCTAATCATGGAACGCTCAAAATTGCATTTTCGACATTCATTACTTTTGTTGTTTGATTTGAAGAAATCTGCTGCCGAAGCCCATCAAACACTTTTTAGAATTTATGGTGATGCTGCTCCGTCATATCCCAATTGTCGGTTTTGGTTTCAACGGTTTAAAAGTGGTGATTTTAATGTCAATGACAAAGAACGGCCTGGAGGACCAAAAAAGTTCGAAGACAACGAATTGCAAGACTTATTGGACGAAAACTCAGCTCAAACTCTCAAAGAACTTTCAGACAGCTTAGCAGTTGATGAATCAACTGTTTCCAGACGTTTACATGCGATGGAAAAGATCCAAAAGGAGGGAAAATGGATACCATACGAATTGACTGAAAATGCCATTTCGAACCGTTTCAACATCGCAGTTTCATTGCTTGCCAGGCAAAAAAAGAAAAGTTTTCTGTGGCGTATTGTTACTGGCGATGAAAAGTGGATCTACTACAATAATCCCAAACGCAAAAAGTCATGGGTTAGTCCAGAAGAGCCATCCACATCGACACCAAAGAGAAATATTCATGGCCATAAAGTCTTGCTGTGCGTATGGTGGGATCAGCACGGTGTAGTGTATTACGAGCTGCTAAAACCGAATGAAACTGTTACTGCAGATGTCTACCGACGTCAATTGAACAAATTGAACGACGTATTGTTGCAAAAGAGACCAGCAATAGCGAGTAACAGACGCAAAGTCATCCTCTTGCATGACAACGCTAGACCTCACGTTACAACAGTTGTGAAGGATACACTGTTGCAGCTCGAATGGAAAGTTCTGCCGCACCCAGCGTACTCACCAGACATAGCGCCTTCTGATTATCACTTGTTCAGATCGATGCAGCATGGCTTGGCTGGCACACGGTTTCGAAATGCTGAAGAAGTGCGAAAATGGATCGATGATTGGATCGCTTCCGAACCAACATCGTTCTTTCAACACGGTATCGCCATGTTGCCAGAAAGATGGGAAAAAGTTGTAGAAAATGATGGAAAATATTTTGATTGAAATATATTGTACCGATTTTTTTCAATAAATGAAAAGAAAATCGTGTGTATTTCCTACGCAACGTGCGAGAGACACGCCAGCGTTTGTCGCCAGCAATTGTTTACACACAAAAAGCACCCGAAGGGAACATAAAACTACTACGTCCTCGTCGTTGTTCCTGTGTAACGCTAAAAGTAGTTTCCCTAAAAGCTAAAAGCTAAAAGAAGTAACATTCAAATCTCAAATGGGGACCCATATTTTTCATTGCAGAATTAGATTGTACGTGAAATTTTTATTGAAACAATTTTTTTCATTCGTGATAGATAGCGTTGAATTTTTCCGAGAAACTACTTTTAGCGTTACACAGGAACAACGACGAGGACGTAGTAGTTTTATATTCCCTTCGGGTGTTTTTTAATGTGAGTCCCCTTGCCTCTCACTGTTCAATTAATTAGAATAAGTGTTCGAAATTTTTACCTTCAACTTCAATACACTTATTGATCCTTTTTTCAAATGACTGTACACAGGATAGAAGCATATCTGCGGGAGTTTCAGCGCAAGCGTTTCTTGTGCGTTCTACCATGTTTTCACGAGTTGTTGGCACTTGTTGATAAACCTTATCTTTTAGGTAACCCCACAGAAAGAAATCCGTCAAATCAGACGACCTAGCAGGCCAATTAATCGGGCCACCTCTGCCAATCCACCGACCATTGTAATCACGGTCTAATACTTCCCGTGCTGCTATTGAATTATGCGCTGGGCAACCGTCATGCAGATTTGAACGTTACCACCCACCCTACTCCGAGAGGATGGGGGGGAATAACTTTTATTATGTTCTTTAAAAATATTGAACAGGTATTTTTTATTTCTCAATCTAATGATCATTTCTGGAGAATTGCGGAAAGTATAATTTTTTGCGATTACAGCGCCATCTATCACGAATAAAAAAAAAAGTTTCGGACAAAATTTACGTATTTTGTGGCGTAGAATCCGTATCTGCAATAAAAAATGGGGGTTTCCATTTAAGATTTCAAAGTTGCCCCCAACCCCCATCCCCAGGGGTTGGGGTGGGAAGTCGAGTTTGGTATCATTGGATGTCCCCCTTCGAGACTAACAACTTTCATTAACCACTTTTTTTTATCCAATGCATAGTTCTCGAGATATTTCAATGTCTTCAGATAAATCGTGCACCCTGTATAACCACAACTATATCTAAGAAATAATTTAATCAAATATGTTCGTTATACATCGCGTCATATTAACGCGGTGACAAGTTCAACGAGAACATCGATCTCTTCTATATCAGGAGAATACCTCGAAAATTCGCTGAAGATTCGCTCTCTCGACAAATGTTTCTATTATCTTTCTTGCGAAAGAATTTAAAAAAATCCGAGCAGAAATAAAACGAGAGTTCTTTTTTTAAAGTATTTTTTTTTACCTCGTAATGTTCGTGATGAATTTGAATCTTTTCAATTCACGCTTATCCGCGACGTTATGAGAAAGATCGGGAAGAAGATCGCTGACTGATCTTTTTCTCGAGATGGTGCGACAAATATGACATATAGAACATTAAAGATATTAGGACTATTGATAATTGTATATATCACTATACCCAGCGATATCCCCAAGACATGATACATAATTTAAACTTTCGAGTAGCCGCTTTCGCTTCGAAATCGTACCCGATGATTTATTAACTCTCCGCTGATAAGACGTCCGGCATCGAAGCAACCATAACACGGTAAAAGCGACGAGAAACGTGTTCTCCATTTTTGAGTCGTCGAGTGAACGTCTTCACTCAAAATTCAGAAGCGCACTCGACATGAGACGTTCACTCGTATGGAGAAACCGCTCTGAACTTGAGAGTTAGACGTTGCGATGCCGAGTGACGATATCTTCATGGTCGCGTCGACTGAATTTTTACCCTCGACGCTCGAGAATGAGATTTCGAGCAATCTAGACAGTATGTAGATATAATTGTACTCAAGAGGAATCGCTTCGTTAGCTGTTCGGCGCCAGTTGCTACGGGATCATCGGTTACCTGTGGAACGTGCCCATCATCGGGGTCAGCACCACCACACTTTACCCGTGGCTGCACCGGTTGGTCGGGCAGCCCGAGAATCTCGCCTATGTGACGAACAATTGCATGAACTTCGTCAGCAACATGAACTTCTGGCAGCGCATCTCCAACACGCTGTTGTCGTCGTATTACAAGTGGGTTTTTTACTCAACAACAACGAGTGTGCAGGACAACATAATAAGGGAGCACTTCGGCCCGGGCTTGCCAAGCGTGCGAGAACTGGAGATGCAAGTGGCGTTAATCCTCGTAAACACTCACATCTCGCTGAATGGGATCAAACCTACGGTACCTGCCATAGTGGATGTGGCGGGGCTGCACGTCTACAACGACGACCTGGAGCTGCAACCGGTAATTCCTGAAGTCACTTCTTCACACTTTGCGCGCCTTCACTCCTCTCTTTTCCTCTTCTGCCGCTTCTCTTTTGTTTCCTTGCTTCCTATCCTTGTATGAACCTGTTCGGCTGGAAATTGAGAAATCCGGTTGAGATAACTGAAGTGGCAATGTCATGACTGAGCAATGAAAGCCTCCTGCGAGGATCTTCCGGCTCCTGACAGCCGAGATTCGGGCGACAAAAATTCAGTCACACAAGTCGCATTTTTTCCGTGCACAGACAATTGTTTTGACACCTTGTTCCCATCCCTCTGAATAATCAACAAATAGTAAATCGATATTGCATACGATCAAAGAATTCGGATAATTTAGTTGCACGTTGAGGCTATCGTGACGGTTTATATGCTGTGTAAAAAAAAAAATAAAAGAAAAAAGAACAGAAAAAGAAGTTCAAATTTTCCAGCACGACACAATAAGAGATAATTACAAGTGAGTCGCGGTGAATCGACGAAATTTCATTGCCGTGCATTACGTGCGAAATTACGTCGAACAGTTGCATGACACGTGAGAAAAATAAGGAGCTTCGCGATTCGAAGGCCGAGCAGGCCTTCACCGAAATCAAAACGATCAGAATTCCATGAGAAGAAACAAAGAAAAACTTCGCGTTGCAAAGTACCGTCCTCCCTCTGGCTGTCTTGTCTGTTCACAAAATAATGACACAATGTGTTGAATTTCATACGCGAACTTTCATGTAATCGTGTATATGTTATCACGGTACGTTATGATGCACGTTATTTGATTGCCGGTCAGCTGATGCTGAGCAGACGATGTGATGAGATGTGCCACCGAAAAATCAATACCGGTGCTTATTGACGCGTTGTCCAGGGAGATCGCTCTTCAATTTTAAGGCCTGCTTGATACAATTTATAACGCAAGTAGTGCAGGTAATACGCGAATTAGGTGAAGATAATTTACAAGTAAGTATAAATTAATGACATTTACATATTAATGGTGTATGTACGTGACGTATATACTATGTAACATGTGATACAATATAATATAATGTATATTATAACATAAGTTTTTACAAGTAAAACTTAAAACTCTACAACACTATTCTACTGTACAAAAGAAGTGATATATTAGAACAGTAGCGCCAACTGAGAAATCTAACATATATATATGATTATTGTATACTTAATATTTTTAGAAGTTTCAAATTCAAATTATTTCCTTTTTTAACATATATATTATATACATAATATTATATATATATTATATACATAATATATATATATATATATATTATGTATAACATATTATATATAATATAACTAAATAATTAAGATTTTTTGTATTAAATATTTGTATTAAATATTTGTATAAATATTTGTATTAAATATTTTTTATTGCATTATTATAATAATTAATTTGTTATAATAACAAGTAAAATAATCATATAATTCAGTGTTCTAATAAATAATGATAAATTTTAATTGTAAAAATTCATGCCATGGACATTTTTTTGTAGCTAGGTTTTCCTTGAATAACAATAACCTTTAAAAATATACTTTTTTTAAATATTGGACACTATTAATAAACATGTTAAATTTTTATAATACTATATAATTTTTACTTTTAAAAACTTATGTACATATATATCTTAAAAGAAGAATAATTTGATAAGTTTTATTTATAAAAATTTATGTTATGTATATAATATATATGTTAAAAAAGGAAATAATTTGAATTTGAAATTTCTATAAATATTAAATATACAATAATCATATATATACATTAGGTTTTTCAGTTGGCGCTACTGTTCTAATATATCACTTCTTTTGTACAGTAGAATAATGTTGTAGAGTTTTATTATAGTTATAAGTTTTATTTGTAAAAACTTATGTTATAATATACATTATATTATATTATATCACATATAATATACATTATATTATAATATCACATGTTACATTGTATATACGTCACGTACATACACCATTAATATGTAAATGTCATTAATTTATACTTACTTGTAAATTATCTTCACCTAATTCGCGTATTACCTGCACTACTTGCATTAAAAATTGTATCAAGCAGGCCTTAAAATTGAAGAGCGATCTCCCTGGATAACGCGTCAATAAGCACCGGTATTGATTTTTCGGTGGCACATCTCATCACATCGTCTGCTCAGCATCAGCTGACCGGCAATCAAATAACGTGCGTCATAACGTACCGTGATAACATATACAATGAAATAATAAAGTGTGTATATATATATATATATACATATATATACATGCATACACACATTCTCTCTCTCTCTCTCTCTCTCTCTCTCTCTCTCTCTCTCTCTCTCTCGCTCTCTCTCTCCCCCCCTCTCTCCCCTCTCTCTCTCTCTCGCTCTCTCTCTCCCCCTCTCTCCCCTCTCTCTCTCTCTCTCTCTCTCTCTCTCTCTCTCTCTCTCTCTCTCTCTCTCTCTCTCTCTCTCTCTCTCTCTCTCTCTCTCATAAACACTAGGACACTTTTCTTCCTATTTTTTAAGATCGAATCGATTGGTATTGAAAAAACGTCGATCGGTTTAGCCATTGGGATATGAATATCTCACCTCGTTTCAACTCGCAGTTTCGCGTAATATAGGCACGGTGTGCCTCTTGATTTGTTATTCCTCTTACTTGTTTAAAAATCAAAATGAAGTCATTAGCATAATATTATGTGCATAACAAGTGCTCGTAAATTGCCATTTCGCGAGCTCTCCAGCAAACGTAATGTAACATACATACAGTCTGTAAAGAGCGTTAATACGGGTTAATGTGTAGGAAAATTTATTTTTAATGATTTTTAGGTACATGGATTTGTTGTACTCCATGAGAAGAAAAATGCTATAGCATTAATAATGAGTCCAGTCACCATCGGCATTGATAATTGCTTGGCACCTCCGAGGCATACTTTCCACTAAGTTGACTGCGTATTCATTCAGTAAAGACCTTCAAATGAGACGAATTTGTCGTGTCAGCTGCTTCAAAGTGCACACTCTTTTTTCTCGAAGCTTGTGCTTGAGATATGCCCACAGATTTTCAATGGGATTTGCATCTGGCGACTGCGATGGCCAATCAAGTGTGACGATGCCAGACTGCTCTTTTCACTCGGTGCAAAGCTTGCTCCGGTGTTTTGGGTCGTTGTCTTCTTGTAAGATCCAGTCCTCGTTTTTTTTATGAAGCATCGTTCAGCAGTCGGCAACAAACACTTCTCATAAATTTTCAGCATTAAGGTCGGGTTCCGCTTAAACAAATTCACAATTTCTTTTTCCATATTCGGCGTCACTTTGCCTATCGAGCGTCACGTTCTGGCGAGTCATCGACATTTTTGATCTTCTTATATTGCTGAACCCACTTAGCGACGAACGATTTTGACTTTCCCATGTATTTAGCAGCCACTGCATATGACATTTTTGGTCCTTTGGGGTGGGAACAAAGGAACACAGCCTCGTAGCGTGATGCGTATGCGGCACTCATGACGGTTAACGTGTTTCTCAGGTTAGAGTTCAACGCCAACTGAATCTTTTGTGACAAAGCATTCATGACAAAGATTTCATCTATCGTTTCACAAAAAAACTAGGACGATATTTGAAGCCAACTGCCATTTATTCCGTACACGCTCTTACTTTACAGACTGTACATAACTTGTTAATTATAATTTCCTACTGAACATTGTGACATAACGTTGTGTTACATAATGTACGCGTTGTATAACATTTGCATCGTTGCAAGCAAGAAATTACAACTAACAGGTTACATCGTGTTTACTGGATTCTTTTTTCCGTAGGATATGGAGAAATGGATGAACAACAGCAAACACGGTTTCGTCTACTTCACCTTCGGCTCGATGATAATGATCGAATCATTCCCAGAGCAGTTCCTGAAGGTGCTTTACGCGAGCTTAGGCAAGATAGCGCCGATCCGAGTTTTAATGAAGGTACCGAGCCCAGAGAAACTGCCGCCGAATTTACCCTCAAACATTCACACGTTTCGCTGGATACAGCAATTAAAAATATTGAGTGAGTTACCGTTTTGTTTTCCCTCCTCTTCAACTCCCGGCCTCTGCTACTGCCGTACATCTTGATTCTTCTTCGTTTTTTTCTTTTTTTTATTTGCGAAGCGATGCGCGTGTGTATTCCCTTCGGAAGCTACATCGAGAAGTATTAACATGGAAATTATAAAATGTTACATTAACGATCGCTTTCACATCGTTCGTCCAGGAAACAGGTTCATAGAATATCGTGCATTTCTTTTTTATCAGTAGAAAACAGACTGTTTAAATGCAGATAGAGCGAAAAGTTATCAATATGCTTTGCATACGTAACATCGCTCTTTCGTGAAAATCTTTACATTATACATGTACATTATACATTATACATTATACATGTATACATTATACATGTATGACATATGACACTGGCAAAATCACTAGCAAAATATTAATATTAACAACGTTTACGATATAACTTCACTGCACAGTAACGATAAAATATTTTTTCATGCGGTCCAAAACGAGAGAAGATTGTTTGAACGTTCCATCGAATCTCGTCTGTTTTGTAGTACATACATCGAAAAAAAATGCATTGTAATTTTTTCATCACCGACTGCTCGGAAATATTCATGATCATGATCGGAAATATTCATGATCATGATGAATATTCATGATTTTATATTTCGGATCAATTTAAATCCATCCCAGAAATTTCTTAGAATTCTGTCTTATTTAACTACACGGCATTTTGAAATAAATTTAAGACAAAATTTTAATCTACTTGATCCTTTGTGATCTAAATTTTTGTCGATTTTTCTTTTCCGTTGAAATTTATTTGTGTGACAATATCGCATAATTTGCATTTATTTTAATTATTTAATACTCGACTAGCATACCGCAATAATTATTTACAATAATATATTTATATATGGAAAAAAACATTTGATTAAATAAGCTATTATAATTCTAAATCTAATAAAATAAAAGATATGATATAAAAATTCCCATTAAAATTCGGTCTAAATTTCTTAATTTTAACAGAATTCTAATATTTTCAATAGGAATTTCTGGGTCGTTCGTACCTCATCAGAAAGTTGGGGCTCATTCAATCAAATATTTCTCTCTATGTAGAATAGATTGAAAGAATAAATAAATATTACACGGTATAATCGTCTTAAGTAAATGCAGCATGAGAGACTGCAACACCGCGCTCGGCCGAATTTATGAATACGCAGAAACAAATTGTTCATCGACATAATAATTGTTAATAAGACATTAATAATTGTTAATAAGATAAGCACTGCTTACGAGATAGCACGAATGTGGTCCCGCAGAGCACCACAACATCAAGGCCTTCATCACTCACGGTGGGCTCATGGGCACGCAGGAAGCGATAGTCTGCGGCGTTCCCATGATCGGCATACCATTGTTCGCCGATCAGTTCGACAACATCGACAGATACGTTAGCCGAAACATCGCCGTAAGAGTGAACATCGAAGGGATAACGGAGGAGATCATGGACACGGCCTTAAATGCAGTTATATGGGATCCTCTGTACAGGTCTGCTAAATCTTCGTCTCTCTTCGTCTCAGCTGGAGCTGTGGCTCGATACGAGTTATCGTCGTTTTTCCGAAAAGAAACGTCGATAATAATTCGTACGTAGAAAAAATGTTTGGTTGAACGAACCGATTTCCTGGTGAAATACGAACGACGCAGAACCTTCCACGGAGAACACCGGATTTCTGTTTAAGTCAACCAGATAATTTCGACTGAATTCTAATGGGCCGGAAATCGGAATTTCTGTATCGTTCGTACTTCGTCAGAAAATTGTTTCATTATTCGATTAAACATTTTTCTCCGTGTGCGATACCGAGATATGCTCGTAAGAGATATGTTCGCAATCGCAATGTCGCCGAGGTTGACAGTTAAACTGTAGCAGACGAATAATTTTACACGCTTAAAAATACACGTGTGCATAGTCGCGATAACACTGATCCGCTTGTTGCAGGGAAAGCGCGCGGAATCTGTCCCGTCGATTCCTTGATAGGCCGATGAACAGCCTCGACACCGCCATTTATTGGATCGAATATATCATCAAGTACGGCAGCGGCGTATTGCGATCGCCCGCGTTGGAATTGTTTTGGTGGCAATTGTACCTCGTTGACGTAATCGGCTTCCTCATGATCTGCACAATTGCTGCGATCATTATCGTCATCTTTGTCATGCGTTTCATCTTGGGCATGATTAATAGGGAATTTTACAGTTCAAAGCATTCACAGAAAATCGACTGACTAATCAGCTCCGCAGCAAATACGTTTAAGAATAAATAATTTTCTCAACAGACATCCATTTGGAAAATGTTGCTAGTAAAATAGACCCATTAGTCTACGAAGGAGAACATAAATCTAGCGAGATTTTGTGTCGTCGAAGTGATTTAGTTTAGTTGACGTTTTTCGTGTTTTCTAACAAATGTTTTATTAAACGTAACATTATTCCGAGACAGATTACATGGCGGCTTAAACTTAAAATCGCGCAGAAGCATATATTGTTATATGATCTTTTCGTTATATATACATACACATATAAATATATATATATATATATATATATATACATACATACACATATACATATTTATTATGTCTGCATCACCACAGGTAAATAAATATATTTATCGCGTCTAAAATCTAGGGGTTCGTGTGTAATTCTCCTTTGTTTCTCTTTTTTCTATTGTTTTTCTTTTAGTTGTCGTCGCACAATTGTTCCAAGCTGGCTCGCTCTGTAGAGCGTTCTCGCAGATAACACGGGTAACAATCGTAATTTCAATATCGGCAAGGTAATCGTCTGTGTAATCGCACGTTACATGTGCGTGCAAGTGACGTAATGACAATTATGTTCATGACGTAACGAGAGATAATTATATCCCCGACAAATCGCCGACTCTCCTCGCGACTTGATTGCCGTGAGATTGACGATGCGTGCTACAAGCGTCGCTAATAAATCGAATGAGAGAAGGAAAAGGAAGACTGCGACCGTCGCTCTCACTCTCTTTCTTTCCCTCTCGTATCGCAACATCTATGAATGAATAAGTAATCGAAAAAGAGTAGAGGGAGAGAGAGAGAGAGAGAGAGGGGGAGAGAGAGAGAGAGAGAGAGAGGGGGAGAGAGAGAGAGAGAGAGGGGGAGAGAGAGAGAGAGAGAGAGAGAGAGAGAGAGAGAGAGAGAGAGAGAGAAAAGAGAAATTACGCTATACATTGTGTATATGTATGCGTGTTTACACAGGCGGCAGGTACTGATTGCCCGCCGGCAGGTTGCTCTTCCGGTAATCGTATCCTTCATCGATGATGCTACTCTGCGCGACGTCTATTTTCGGTTCCGGCCCGTGCGGCAGGTGCATGGTCTGCTTCACCCAGCCGAGGTCGATAGGCGCGAACGTTGCGACCTGGGAAACGCGTAAGTCAGATCTGCTGCCTGACGAAGCGCGGTGCCGATCGAACGAAGAGAACCGTAAGACACGCGAGAGTAATTAATGTTAAATTAGAAATGATGAGGCATTTTGCCACCAGGTCCAAGATATGTCTTCTTTGTGCGTCAAATCGCACTCAATTGCTCGCGGCAGTTGGCCTCGACATGTAATGTCATCAATCGTTTGTGTGCAAATTTATTCAGGAAATTTATTGTAGAAAATGTAGCAACTTTTGCCAAGCATTGCGTCAATTTCCATCAAAATACCCACATTTGTTAAATTTTCAAATTTTAAGAAATTTACAAACTTTTAAACATTGTATTCTTTTTTATGTTTATCCTTGTAAAATGTATATGTACTTAAAGTGTTTTGTATGGAAAAAGGAAAAAGTCTTTAAAAAGACATTGGAGAGAGCGAATTTTTTTTGCTTTTCCTCAAAATAGACCGTCTGAAACTTTTCTACATTGATTCTGCATTGAATCGGAGTCTATAATTTCTTTCGGGAATTCCAGCTTAGGACCCAATTAGATCATGCGAAATTTTTCATGTAGATGATACTTTTTCATGTACATACCTGATTCGTGGGCAAGCATCCGGTGTCCTGGCTGTAAATTCCGGCGATATGGTACGCTCCGTTGCCGTCGTAGCAGGCCAACGGACCGCCGATGTCCGCTTGGCACATGTTGTTCTCCTCGCGCGCCTTGCCGCAAATCACGTTGTTCGCGATGTTGATCGGAGACTCCGCACCCAGCACGCGGTTCTGGCAAACCTCGTGCGACAGCAGGTCCACGTCCACCATGTGCATAATAGCGCCAGCGTAATGGGCTAAAATCACACGCATCGATAGAATGTAGAGTGTCATAGAAATCGAGAAGCTGATCGATATTCCGATCCTTCATTTTTTATCCTGTCGTTTCATACGCACTATTTTAGAAACTCAAGTCTATTGTCAAAAAATTTCAAGAATAAGTTCTTTTAACAGTCCATTTCTGCGGTATCGCCGGGAAACATAATGAGATGGGAAGAAATTTATAAGAAAAAATAGCTATAATCTTCTTCCTCCGCAATTGCAAGTGAATTATGAGCATTACATTGCAGTATCGATTTGCCCCATCCAGTCACGATGCACTGCGACGTTTCTTGCACTTGATAGTCCTCGGGGAGACACAGCGTGTTGATATGTAAATTGAAAGACGCAGGATGCTCCAAGAGCAACATGGCGGTATCGTTGCTGGACAGTCCCTCCACGTAACCGGGATGGTACTTGATCGTCCGTACGTTGATGATCTCGAACGGTAATGGTTCCTCTTGCTTAAGCTCAAAGCCCAGCTTCCATTCGCCGAGTTTCACGGAGATTTCGCTCGGTGAGAATCTGAAAAGAATTGATTGATCGACTAATTCTCTTTCTAGAAAAGTCGACCCAAGGTCTCGGATTGGGAATAAGAAATAGGATAATTACAAAACAATAGAAATATAGAATATAGAAAACAATTCACATTAAAATATATAGATATTAAATGTACATTAAGATGCTCATTAAAAAAAAAATTATTATTTAGGAAAAACAACGGTCGTCTAGAGATGTGCGAATCAAGAATTTTTATGTCGAATCGAATCGAATCGAATCTCATTTTTTAAATTCGAATTCGAATCGAATCGAATAAAATCGAATCGAATCATTAAAAAATTTAACATGACTATTAAACGTGCAAATAATGATGGAAGATTTTAATATGAAACAGAATATTGATATTGTAATGTCATCTTAAAGTAAAGTATATATTTAAATATTTAAAGTAATTTATAATTAAATTATTAATTATAAGTTAAGTTGATTACAAGTTAAGGGTTCAAACATACAGATCCAGATGGCCCGTTTTGTAGCTGATGCGCGCAAACGCTAATGTATTTGATTCGTATTCGAATACTCGCGATTCGAAATTTTCGAATTGTTCGGATTCGAATTATAGGGATTCAAATTCGAATTGAATAGAATTACATTAGATTCGATTCGATTCGATTCGAATTCGAACAGTTCGTACATCTCTACGATCGTCTTTTCTTTTTTCTACGAAGTTGCCGTTACCTGCTGACGCAGCTGGCAGCCGTCAAAACAGCGTCCGGTGCCACGAGCGCACCAGAACACAGGATCTTACGTTCCGGCGACCAGAGGACCATCGCCTGCCAAGGGATCTCCGCGAAGGCCGCGTCGGTCTCCCTGAAGCCGGTCGGCCGTTGATCCTCAACACGCAACAGTCAGATAAATTCCCAAATGTCCGATAATAATTACAGGTAAAACGTAATACTTGATATAATATATAATATATTCCTTCACTGAGAAAGCGTTGCACAACTGTAACTATTATTGCGTAACGAAAGAATTGTAATTAGAACTATTTTTGTAACAAGTCTTACCCATGGTATTAGCGATAATAATCTCATGTGTATATCTACCACAGTTTTATCAAAACAGCAAACAAAAGCATAGCAGTTGAGGCCAAAGATAACTATCATTCTAACAACGTTGACTATTCTTTCCTTTCATCAGTCAGTGCCCGCCCCTTAGGTCCCTTTTCGAATTTTCACTGCGTATCAACGAGCCGCGTATTTATAATTTTCGTTTCACAGTTGAGATCGCATGTCCATCAACGGGAGCAATGTCCATCATCGTGACGCCACACGTCCGAAGGAGACGATACCGAAGAGACTTACGTAATTTCTCACGCCGCACGGATTCCTCGGCACTTGCGGCAGCAGGGCGATAGGTTGTTGGTCGCTCGAGTCGGTCTCGTACGGTTTCTTAGTGAACGGCGCAGGAGTGCTGGCCGCAATCGGCACCTGGGTCGGGATCGGAAGCACGTGCGGCCTCAGGTTGGAGTCATCCGGCACCACGTTCGTCGGCTGCTGCTCGTGGAACTCAGGGACTCGCGGCGTCTCAGGGAAAACGGGCGGCTTCACCGGCGGTTTGGGGATCGTCTTAGTGGGTTGTTGCGGCTTCTTCGTCGGCGGCCGCACCTTCGCGATGTTGAGGAACGTCGGGAAACCTTGCTCGTCGAAGCCGCCGGTGTAGTTAGCGGGCAAATTGCCCGTCGGCCATGGATCCACGTAGTTCGGGTCGCGACAGCACTTGCCGATCACTCCGGTCTCACGGTTTCTGCAACTCTGTGGGTCGAGAGTAATCGAACATCCAGTTATTATTATTTCTCTTAGGTCAGTTCAAGTTATTTTTAATTGACCATCGTTAATATATTAATTATTTTCAGCTTGCTCAGTCTTGGCTTCTTATTTAGAAAATTTATATGATTTTTAGTATAAATTTAGTATGATTTTTACAATATGATTTGTTGCAATTGCAACAGTTGTCCATCTAACATTCCGTGTTACTTACGCTCAACGGGACACGTCGTAGGAGCTGCTTGCTGGTGAGCGCGACCGGTTCCGGGCTGATGACACCTTCCAACGTGCAATACTGTTCCTCCACGCAGAGCAAGGCAGCCGCACAGCCCGATTGAACGGGAAACTGGAAGATTGGAGGATTCGCGCTGGCGGCAGGATTAGCTGCTGGTGAAACTGGCTCGCTGTCGACCGCGCTGCCTGCAATGTCAACCCGATTTAACAACAGGATACTCCTGCTCCACAACGATCTTGCCGTATTCATTGACTTCGGTGAAATCAAGAATAAGGATCACGTAATATATACCTTGTCGAAACTGTTCCTGCGGGCTCGAGCCAGCCGGCACCTGATTGTAGTCGATGGGAACCTCCTCCGGGGCTTTCACGTTGTCATGTGGCCGACCAGCGGAGTCGATCGCGTATCTGTCGTTCGTCCCGGACTGTAGCTCCGCGTCGTTTCCTAACGGCGGGTTCAGCTCGGCCACGTCCGCCTGATTGTCTTCGCCGTACGGGACGTACTTCTGATCGTTCTCCAGACTGGGCTCCGGGTACTGATGGTACTGATCGTCCTTTAGCACCGTGTTGAACTGCTCATTGCCGTACGGCGAGTTGTTCAGGTTGTATCGCACGATGCAGCACGTCTCGTGGCTGAGCTTGCATTCTTGCACCTATACGAGACAGTCGTCAGGAATGTTTAGAACCTGAACCGCATACTCCAAGGCATACTCCTTGCGTTCGTCTCGAGGTACATTTTAACTAAAGTACAAGAGTTCCATCAATGACATAATTCAACGGAACAGATTTCACGTTTTCGTATAAGAAAGCAATACTGTACACATCATAAAGAAAACAATAAATAACTATATAAAAAATGTTAATAAATAAATAATATGTCAATATGTATGTCTGTGGTAACAGATAAAATAATTTTTAATAAATAAAATAAATAAGTAAAACAATCAAATTCGACGATAAAACGATAAGCGATATATCAAATAATCCAATAATTAAAATTTGTGATGATTTCTCAATAGCTACGTTTACACGGCAATGTTAATCCAGATTAGTAACAGCTGTAGTTAGTGAATTCTTTGATCCGATTGGTATACTCTATTTAGATCTAAAAATAAATATACTCTAATCGGATTCGAGACTACAACCAACTACGGTAGTTACTAATCCGGATTAACGTTCGCCGTGTAAACGTAGTTATAGATAACATAAATAAAGCAGAGATAACATAAGTAAGCAGAGAAATATCGGCGGCGACGATCTGCGAAAGAAGCGACCTCTCACCTGTCCTGGCCGAATGAATCCCTGCTTCAGGGGATGCACGTATCCGTCGATGCACAGGCTCTTGCTGACGCAGACCTCGTTGTGACCTCTGCAAGTGATCGTGAGGTCGTTCAGGGAGTTAGGGTAGGACTGTAGCGTTTGATCGGGCTGATACACGTAATCGGAATCATGTTGCTGCTGCTGCTGCTGCTGCTGATGCTGCTGCTGCTGCTGCTGGTGTTGCTGCTGCGGCGCGGACGGAGCGTGCGTCTCGTATCCCACGAATGCTTCTGCGTCAAGACGTTGCAGTAAAATGCGAACGGTTGGTTTGGCTCTCTTTCGGATTTCGAGCCAAGTGAGCAAAGTACCATGACATCGTTGTTACTCACCTTGCTGCGATTGGTCCCAATTAAATGGCGCTTGGCCTATCTGTCCCGGCACGACATTTTCCTTATAGCTGGGAAAGGCGTTGCTCTGAGCCTGGGAGACACGGCCGTCACCGTACCAGACAAGTTGCCCCTCTGAAACGAGACTCGGTTGACTCGGTGAATGCTCAGAAATGTTCTCGGGAATCGTGTCTCTCCTCGGTCTCTCCGTTCTTTGAATTATCTTGGTAATTTCGACAATGGAATAAAACGGGTTTCGCAAAAATGTGGGCGAACGCATCCCGTGAGGAACCGCTCGTAAGCTCGTATCTTTCCGCCCGAGCTCCTCATTTCGCACCGAAAGACACACTCATTATTAAATTATCGGATGATTATTCTTGACGTAGGCGCGTCGGGGACACGTCGTCGTGGAATTTAAAATTTGCTTGAGGTCGTCCGGTCGAGGGGGAAAAAAGAGGAATACGTTGAATACGTTGAATCTCCTAGAACGGAGAGAATATTGCAGTTTTCTCTCTTCGCGAATTCTCTTCAATTGTACCGTGCTCTTTTTTTTTTTAGTAACGCCGTCAGTAGAGCGTCGGCAAAATTTATTCTTCTGAGAAACACGGGACAAAGTAGGGACTTCAGTTTCGAAGATACAAAGAGAACATATGAAAGATATAATGAATTAAGGCAACGTATGGACATGGCTGAGGCAAACACTCCACGCTAATTCCTACTGCAAAATTCTCTCCGTGTTTGCGTGTTTTCATACTGACGCGTTTGCAGCTGAGACGGCAGCTCTCCGTAAGGGAGTCCACGGGTGTGCGTAGCTAACGCTACTACGACTAGTAGCATTTCCAGCAGTGGCCTCATCGTGGAAATCTGGAAAATAACGAAACACAGCCAAGCGGCGTTAAACGGCGGTTCCCCTTCGTGCTCGCGAATACGCGCTTTCGTTCCTTCGCTCCGGCGTTTTCGAAGAAAACACGAAGAGAAGCACGAAAGCGGGAGAAAGAGGAGAGCAAACGGAAAGGCAAACCTCTGGGCACTCTCGAAAATGAAAACCGATCGGCTCGCAACTTCGCGATCACACCTCGCGTCGCAATTCGCGGCTCGCAGCAACGTTTGCTGTTTTTCCTTTTCCTCCGCGCGGTGAATTATATTATTATCGCGCAAATGTTTCCTATTATAATTTTATTGCGTGCCTGTCCGCGTTAGAACGACGCGCGCGCGATTGCAGAATCCGAAGCGAACGATCCGAGGGGGAGATCAGCGCGTTATGGTCATGAAGACCTCCTCGACATGTCGAGGAACAACGAGGCTCTTTTCGCGCGTAGGTATAATCTATTCGCGCGTGTCCAACCTTCGGTTACGTGTGTGCACACAGGTGGGACGAGGATTCCCACCTGGAGAGGTGAGCGACGAAAGACGACGAAGGAGCAACGCGAAATACCAGCGTGTAAATCGCCTTCTTTATCTCTCTTTACCCTCCGATTCCTTCAGCGATGATTTTATGTTCATTCAAGCGGGAAGCTGTCAGAATCGGCTAGACGGGGAAAGAGTTAGTATACGCGAGATTTAATATACACTAATTAGCAGCCTTCCACGTAATCATGTAATTAACGGCCTTCCCATGTTGACCTCCGTATTCCGCGGCGATGTTTTTTTTCATAGCGCTGTGATTTGATATTCTTCGATATTTACTGTTTTTACTGCAATATTGACATTATTGCTCCATATTTACCGTGAAAACATACGAACGGCGTCCCGTGTCTTTTCTCTTGCCGCACGACCTCATCTCCACCGTCCACCGTCATCAAGGATCATCGTTAGACGCGAAGCGACGACTTGGGGACTTCGTTCGCCGTTTCGCGGCTCTCTGACGATTTCGTGAGTCCACGTAGAAAGTTAACGACACGACGCGCACACGCGCGCGCATTCGTCATTTATGAAAGCTGAGTCTAATGCAACATAAATCGTCGCTGATACGCGTTATCTCGCTATTTCGCAAAGCCTGCGCGTCAACGGCAGGCCGATTATGTATACGCTGTAACGATGATTCCTCGACGACAAGCGCGATGTAACGCCGATTGGTCCGTAAGACCGGCGGCGATTACAAGATACGACTCTTAGCGTTGCGATTACGCGTTTACGCGTGTTATTCCCCGACGATGTTGCGTAAACGCAACGCGTGGGACGTCGGGTGTCACTTTCGCGCTGGAAGTCCGGCTCCTGGTGTTTTTCTAGGCTAGGTTAGGTCTAACGATGAAATAATCCGCCGCTCGACGGGGCCGACAATGCGATCATTGTTGCGCGGATATTCATACGAGAATTATACGGTGGCCCGGATTGTGCAAAGAGATCGATTCCTATTTACATGCTGCCGGCAGCGTAGGTGGCAGGTAGACATCCGTCTGTCTCAGCGTGATGTCATCCCTGTCGCTGGATTAGGTCAGGTCAAGGCCACGGGAAACGGTGAACGAAATGTTCCCGTTGCACGTAACGGGAGAATCGCGCACGTCCCGTTGCTCGGAAAATTCTCAAATTTGTGTTTGACCGGATAAAAATTTTCATCAAAAGCGGGACTTTTGTCAGCGGGCGAGAGATCCTCGCGGCGGTCATTGAGCTCCATTCTTTTCACTCTCGTCGTCAAACCTCGAGCACAAATCTTAGCTCTCGAGCATTTCCGACTACTTTTTAAACATTGCTGTTTTTCTATCGCTTTTCAAGAGTCTTTCAAATGACAAAGGGAAGATCCATCTTTCCTTAGTGGCGTAAATTAATCCTCTAATTTAATCAGTATCGCGATGGCACGACGGGATTAATCTCTCCAAATTCTCGCTGGGAGGATCGAGTTAGATCATCGATCACGCGTTAACTAACCGCGAGGAGAGACGAGGAGAGAGAGGTGTCGATAGAATACTGTTTCGTCATCGTGCGTCGAAGAGCGCAAAGTGTGAGGCAGAAAATGCCGAGTCGACCGAACATACATCCGTGATGAATATCACTCGAGATGCGTATACATCCTGTTGAATTTCGCGCAAGTCAGCCGCAAAAACACTCTCGACGTCATGGAGGTCAGCGGTTCGAGCGGTTCCGGGGGGGTGGTTCGGGTATCTCGAGGGGTGAGCGCATCGCGGGTTTCCCCAGGAAGGCCTCGGCTTGCCGTGAGCTCCGGATCGAGCAACTGACTGGATAAATTACCGTACGCACGCGACGCGATTAGCCGTGCGGTGTTAAGGTAAATGTCCCAGTAACCGGACGTTTAAGTACATTTAAATATTAATTATTATATATTGTGTTTTTTGTGAGTGACCTACGGGTCGTCACAAAAAATATAATATATAATATTGAGAATAGTTTTGATACAAATATTTGCATTTATTCGAAAACTTAAGATTCCCTTAAGTATAGAGAAATGATTTAAACCAATGTATATATCTATAATTATTAATGAAACATTTATACGAGTAATGAAGCGCATTATTAATGTACCAATGACCGGACAGTCGAAATAGATTATGGTCCAATGTCCGGATATAATTTGCCCTGGTGTCTGTGAGCGTAATTAGAAAATTAGCATGTGCTAACGGGAAATAATATAAATAAAGATGCTGTCTCTTAATGAATTTATTAACGATCGACCATTATTTTGCCGAACCATAAGTGCATGCTTATTTGATTAATGTGTATTTTAATATAAAAGTATCAAATTGGCTAGATTTTTTCTCAACTAATCGTCAAATATTGGAGTGTCTTTTTTTTACAATAATTATTACTTTCATTCATTATCGTTAAAATAAATAATAAATTTTTTTTTCAAAGTGGTTGGATACTGGGACGTGTCCGGGATCATTGGGACGTTTATTTACTTTACATCGTGGGAAATCCCGACGTGCGTAAGGTGCGCGCGTAATGTACGACGACGTTCGGCTCGCGACGACGAGCGGAGTCGGTTTTCGGTGAAATTAAACGGCTCTAATCGCCGCGATCGGTAACTAATTCGAGAGAAAAAAAGCCCGAAACGCTTTCTACTCCTTTTCACTCTCCGCGAGACAAATGAGCCACCACGTGGAATAAGTTGTAATGTGATGTAACCGGGCACCGAGCGCCGAGTAGAAAGGGAAACTCGCTCGTGCGACTTTTGCATTAATAATCCATCGCGCCGGACGACCGGCCAGCGTTTTATTTCGTCGCTGTGAATCTGGATACGTCGTTTATATTCGAGAGCCACGGTCGTAACGCATTTTCTACTATCAGGCAACTGCGTGAGGAAGGCTGGACGTATTCATAAATAACGACGCTAACAGCCGAGAGGCACGCTGATAAATAACACAAAATTGTTTATCTTCGAGACTTAATCATCAAGACGAGTGATGAAATAATAATTAGCATAGAGCATAATATAAACGCTAAAAAGAGGAGAGAAGAAGAGAAGAATCGAGGAAAAAGGTCGCGCGACCTCTTTGAGGAAAGATCTCAGTGAAATCAGCTTGGCACGTGTCTTAACCGAAGCAGGATCTATCGACCAAGAATTCCACTTTTCGTAAGAAAGTACTTCCCCTCCCTTCCCTTTCTTTCTCTTTCTAACAGGTCCCCTTATCTGATCAATCAAATTTCACGGGAACGGGAAGAGCGCAGGAACGCCAAGAACATCGCGCCATCGACCTTTCGCGCGTCTCCGCGTCGACCGCCCGCCGAATCCTTCAAGCGATTACTTTACTATTCGCGGGTAATTTCGGCTCCGGCCGGCGGAGAGTCACATACGGAAAGAGGAGGAAACAAGAATCGATGCGACCTCAATCCGCGCGCATTCCGCCGTTCGGCGCGGCTCGGAGAGGTATCGACCGGCTATTAAAGTCGCGATAAAAATAATAACGCCGATCGAGCGGGCGGACGCGCGCGAGCGCGAGAGAGGGATTAACGGCGCCTGATGTGGCCGGTCCAGGAGAAAGTCCGCGAGAGGAGAGACGCGGTGAGCAGGTAGGCAGGTAGGCAGGTAGGCAGGTAGGCAGGTAGGCAGGCAGGCAGGCAGGCAGGCAGGCAGGAGGGCGGGTAGGTATATAGCGGAACGCCGAAAATTCACGATGCGTTCGATTTTCACGATAAGCGTCCGCTCGCGCGAGACATTCCGACCGCTAAAATATTATTTTACAGAGCCGCATGCCCTGCGCGCCCGCTTTCACGTATACATTAGCTACGCTACGGACTTTCTCTCCTACGTTGAATTACGCAGATTACCCGGGTCCCGCACAAATCAGACATGTCGAAGCCGCGTAAATCCGTGCGCATCCTAATAACCCGAATCTGGAGCCGGAGAGGCGGCTACGGGAAAGCTCTCTCCCCCTCCCCCCCCTCCCTCTCTCTCTCTCTCTCTCTCTCTTTCTCGCGGTGTTTTCATCGCGCGCAGAAGCAGCTTGAAAATTCTTCTCCCTTTTTCCTTCCTTTCTCTTCCCTTCCCTTGCTTCCCGTGCTTCCCTCCTCTCCTCTTTTTCCTCTCGCTCGTTCGCTCTCCCTCATGTCTGTGCCTCGCGACTCGAATGCGCATAAATAATCCGTCGATTTTGACTGGCGCTTCGACCGACGCGCTTTTGCAATGTGGGGAAGGGGGGTGTGATATGCATACAGCGTAAATACTTAAATATTCACGTCCTCATTAATAACGCCGATCGCTGGCCGAATAGCTGCCAAGTAGAAACTTACTTTCGATTTGTCAATCAATAAGTACTTTCACCGATATACACCGGCGTCCGCGCTATACGCATAATTAAGACGCTCGCATAATTAACAGCCGGGTGCTAATTCCGCCTGTTGAGATATATATTTCTCTTACGCGCGCTTATCCGTCACGCGACCTTATCGCGAGCTTATCGCGAGCTAGC